CCAGAGGAAACACTGGGGACACTAAAACAATACAATAATACAATAGAAAGTAGAACAATAAAATGCGACAATAAAAATAAAAATAATAAAAATAAATAAACATAGAATGTGTCTAAAAACATAAATAGATGTACTAAAAAGCAATAATAAATAATAAATACTAATCAAAAGCTACTCTAAAAAGGTGCGTCTTGAGCCAACGTTCTCTGCGGCCCTGAGCTCCTCAGTATAAAGCCATATTGTTGCTCGTTTAGCAAGTAATATTTATCAATAGATTTATTCAATCGCAATACAAAAGTTTTTCTAAAATCTTTGAGAATTGTGGCAGTAATGAGATTGGCCTGTGGTTGGTAAATTGATGCTCGTCTCCACTTTTGTAGATCGGAATAACTTTTGCTGTTTTCATTTTGTTTGGAAAGACACCATTTATATAAGAAATATTATAAATGTGGGTGAAGGGAAGAGCTAAATATACTCAACAATGTCTTTGATCAGAGACATATCTGAATCACAACAATTGGTTTCTGTTTTGAATTGTCTTTACAGTGGCTAGTACTTCTACTTCATTTTCATACACAGGTGAAAGGAAGATTGACTCTAAGTTGTTTTGAGTCGAATTCATGAGTATATCATGGTTGATCAATTTTATTTGCGAGATTTGATCTTTATCTGATCTGATCTTTATTTATATACCGCCTTTCACAGACCAGAGTCACAAAGCGGTTTACAATTGTTATATTTTATTTGGTCCAACATTCACAAAGAAATTGTTAAATAGGTCAGCTATTCCCTTAGGATTATACTGTATATGGTTTGGTTATCTTCTATAAAATACCTGGGATATTCCTTTTTTTTTTCCTTTAATGACACTGTTTAGTATTTGCCACATGCCCTGGATACTATGCTTATGCTACTGAAGTAAGTTACATTCATATGGTTTTTTGCTCTGTTTAAATGTTTTTGTTAGTTTGTTTTTTGTACGTCTTATATCTATGTTCTGAGTTCATGGTTCTGTATTTTATACATATTTTACATGATTTTAGTATTTCTTTTGTGATCATGGTTTCACTTGTCTAGTGGAATTTTTAATATGTTTTTTTTAATTGGGCAGTGGGGGGCCCTGTCAGACGGACTTTCAACTCACACCTCCGGGAGAGCTTCTTGCCAGGTCCCGGCGGAGGGGGGGGATATTGCGTCCGAGTGGACCATGTTCTCTTCCTCTATCGCCGATCCGGCGGCTCGTAGCTGTGGTCGCAGGGTCTCTGGTGCTGGTCCCGGCGGCAGACCCCCAAATTTGGTGGTGGACACCGGCAGTAAGGGATGCCGTCAGGCAGAAGAAGGAGTCCTATCGAGCCATGATGGTTCATGGAACTCCTGAGGCAGCTGTCCAGTACCGGCAGGCCAAGCATGCCCCGGCCCGGGCTGTTGCAGAGGCAAAAACCCGGGACTGGGAGGAATTCGGGGGGTCCATGGAGCATGACTATCGGTCGGCCTCGAAGACATTCTGGAGCTGCGTTCGCATCGCCGGCAGTAAGTCAGACCTGTTCCCGGTGCATGTTTGCCTCCGCCAGGGCTGCCCTTTGTCACCGGTTCTGTTCACTGTCTTTATGGACAGAATTTCTAGCCGCAACCAGGGGCCGGAGGGGGTCCGGTTTGGGGACCACCGGATTTCATCTCTGCTATTTGCACACGATGTTGTCCTGTTGGCTCCAACGAACCAGGACCTGCAACATGCACTGGGGCGGTTTGCAGCCGAGTGTGAAGCCGCTGGGATGACAATCAGCACCTCCAAATCTGAGGCCATGGTGCTCGACTGGAAAAAGGTGCCTTGCCCTCTTCAGGTGGGTGGAGAGGTCCTTCCTCAAGTGGGTCTTGTTCACGAGTGAGGAAAGGATGGAGCGTGAGATTGACAGGCAGATCGGTGCAGCGTGCGCAGTGATGCAGTCGCTGTATCGGACCGTTGTGGTAAAGAGGGAGTTGAGCCGAAAGGCAAAGTTCTCAATTTACCGGTCAATCTTCGTTCCCTCCCTCACCTATGGTCATGAGCTTTGGGTAATGACCGAAAGACTGAGATCGCGGATACAAGCGGTCGAAATGAGCTTCCTCTGCAGAGTGGCTGGGCGCTCCCTTAGAGATAGGGTGAAGAGCTCAGTCACACGGGAGGAGCTCAGAGTAGAGCCGCTGCTTCTCCATGTCGAGAGGAACCAGTTGAGGTGGCTCGGGCATCTGTTCATGCCTCCTGGACGCCTCCCTGGGGAGGTGTTCGGGGCACGTCCCACCGGGAGGAGTCCCAGTGACCCAGGACACGCTGGAGGGACTAAGTCTCTCCGCAGGCCTGGGAAGGCCTTGGGGTCCCTCCGGACGAGCTGGAGGAAGTGTGTGTGGATAGGGAAGTCTGGGCGTCTCTGCTTAGACTGCTGCCCCCGCGACCCGGCAACGGATGAAGCGGAAGAAGATGGAATGGAATGGAATGGGCAGTGTTTAGTATCAGAAAGATGTTTAAGAATATAATAGCTTCAGGATCAGTAAAGGCATGCACCTCACTCCAGTCCCATACAGACAGGTCAGCTTTGAAAGCTGCCCTAGTCTCTGCTGTCGATGTCTACAAAACCTACAGTGGTCAGTTTGTGTTTGTTGCTTTCTTGTTATCGAGTTCTTGAGTTCTTGAATAACGCTGAAAACAGGTAAATGGTCGTTTTTGTCATTGAGGAGTAGTCCTGCTGTTATCTGGGTCTCGAGCTGATTTGTGAAAATGTTGTCTATTAGTGTGGCTGAGTTGATTGTTATTCTGGTTGGCTTTGTAATGAAAGGGAATAAACTGTTACTGTATACAGTAACAATGTATTAATGTTGTAAAATCAGTTATGGTTGAGTCGTCTAAGGGGTTTAGAAGATTGATATTAAAATCACCACACACAATTTGGAGATTTTTTGTCTTGCAAAATAGATTATCAATACTTTGATTGAATGTTTAAATACATGACACAGGTGTGTTATACATCAGCTGACATGGGGGCACGGTGGCTGAATGAATAGCACTCTCGCTTCTCACCAAGAAGGTCCTGGGTTTTCTGAGGGGGCCTTTCTGAGTGGAGTTTGCATGTTCTCCCCGTGCCTGCGTAGGTTTTCTCCAGGTGCTCCGGTTTCCCCTACCACTAAAAACATGCACAATAGGTATGAATGTAATGAGAGAGTGAATGGATGGTGTTGATTGGAGCTGATGGTCCAGTGTGTTCGACGACTCGCTTCCGTAATCACTGTGTGTGGAATGATTGGAAACAATATCTTAACTCTGAACATTGTAAAGTGCTTTGGGTGACCTTGATCTGTGAAATGCGCTATATAAATGAACATTACTTACTACTGACATTTATCTTTCAGGATTTTTTAACCTCGATTTCAACCATTAGGCATTCCAAGAATGTACTATCTACTATCTTTTTACAATTTAAATCACTATTATTTACAAAGAGTGCTACCCACCCCCCCTTTTCCCAACCCGATATGTAGTAAATCAGCCGTTCCTAAAGTCAGTAACACCGCAGCCCCCTTCTGACGGGTCTGCGCGGCCCCCTGAAATACTAACCAAGACCATGTTAAAAATCGGCTCTTCTCGTTATTTTATTTGGGGGAAATAGCCTTTGCTACAAACATTTAAATGATACACCCCATTTTGTAATACAAAAATGATTACAATTTCATTAGTCAAATAATGAACACAAATATTTTACAAATAAAATAATTTTCTTTTATAACCTCTCCCTGGGGGCTGCGGACCCCACTTTGGGAGACACTGTAGTAAATAATTTGTAACAATCCAATTTGATTTCACAACTCTTTTCATCATCAAGGCACGTTTCTGAATTTGCAATGACACTGAATTTTTGGAACAGATCCAGATAGTGTCTGATGTTTTCATGGTTTTTAAACAAACTTCTCCTGTTGATGTGAATTATTGAAAACGCTCCTTCAATTTTCACACATTTGAAAGTTTTATCTATGTAACATTTGCAGTTACTGCTTATATTTTATCTATATCACAATTAACTAACAACTACTCAGCTTGTAACACTGACATTTAATGGACAAATGTAATCATTGCCGCTTCTGATTAGCAGAAGTGGATTCATCGTTCCAAATGTGGTTTTAATTTCATACCGTTTCATCTTCTCACACAACTAGGCCATGCGAGAGTTCACTTAACTGGCATACTTTCAATTGTCTTTTTGTAGGATTTTTCGGAGGATGACGTTGATGCAATAATGTTTACTCCAAGTCCAATAGGCTGGGGATTGAAATGCAGGGATTTGGAACCTAATAGCCTTGTACTTTCAACATTGACGCCATCTTGTGGACAAAGTTAGATTGAATTTACTCATATTGAATAACAATTTTTACAACTATATTTTGAAGTGCAATACTTAACTATCTATTCACATTGTTATTATTCAAAGATTATAATTATTCACACATTCACCTGCATCCTCAAGGCACATAGTGGGTGTGAAAGAGGCAATTCATGAAGTTTGTATATTTCATTTATTCATGATTTTGTGTGGCTGATAAATCAACACAAGCTCTGATCCAATTGATTGGGTTATAATTATCAGTTCTAGGCTGTCATTCATTCTATCCAGGCAGCTGAGATTAGTATAAAGGCAACAAACAATTGCAAATAGGTTTATGATTCCAAACATATTTCCCGCTGGAAGATCCCCCCTGACCCCGCTTCAATGGGTGTAGTCTCAGGCCCCAGTGAATGCCCCAACCAAGTCTGGAACCAAACCTAGGGATCGTCATGATCCTGGGGGAGCCTGGGAGCACTGTCGTTCTATCACTGTCCAGCAGATGGCGCTAGTCTCAACAGTTACAGTCACGTGACAGTTGACTCCTGTTATGGCTGCCTTGTTACGTACAGGGAGGTGTATGATTTCCCTCTGATGCTCCTTTGATCGCCCTTTTGGAGCTGCCACAGGCTTTGGTCTCGGCACACACCCGACATGCAGAAGATCAAGTCCCTAATGGCCCGCCAGGTGAGCCCTATGTGCGGCCAGTGCGTGATGGGAGGCTCGGGGAGACGCGTTAGCATTAGCGTTAGCCACACAGCTGTTAGCACGGTGACAGCTCCAGACAGCTCCCAATAATCACAAAGAAACATGCAATTGTTATTCTAATATACAAAAGACATCACAAATCCCAGTCATCACAAACATACATATTATTTTGATTCTGATAAATATAAGAAATGGCAGCTTCCAGTAAACACAAACAAACACACTAATAATAAACACAAGACAGCCTGTTGTAATGTAAAAAACAACTGTCCATTCACCCTGGTAGTGTCCGCACATAGTGGCATGTTGTAAAGCTCTTATTTTCTCTATTCTATCACATGTTATTTACTCGCTTATCTACATAAAAGTTTGATTTGGATTCTATAATGTGCATAGCCCCAAAAGGAGGGAATAATATTTAAGAATGATCTATCAACCTGTCACAATGAATGGAAAGGGCATTGAATTGGTATGGCTGAAGAAGAACCTGGGAATCCACCTGGAACACAAACTGCTCTGGTCAGCTCAGGAGAATTCTGTGTATAAGAACAGTCAGAGCAGACTCCTCTTCCTTGAGAGGCTGAGGACGTTTGATGTGAGCAGTCAGATGGTACACACACGTCATCAGTCTGTTGTAGCTGGTGCTGTGTTCTTTGGTGCTGTGTGTTGGTGCTTTCTGACCCCAAGAGGCAGTCACCGGCTGGACAGGATGATCAGGAAATGTGTTTCTGTAATTGGGTTAAGTTTGGACACTTTGGGAGCTGTGCTGGACAGAAGGATGAAGGGTCTCATGTAGGGCATCCTGAGGACCTCCAAAGACTCTCTGCATGACACTGTTGACGCTCAGAGTAACCATTAGCAACAGGTGTCTTATCATTGTGCTGCAGAACGGAAGGTTTTAAGAAATATTTGTTCCTTTGGCTGTGAGACTGTACAACAAATTTGAACTAAACCTGTGCACTTTGTAACTTTTACAACTATGTTATTATTGATATTTTTATTTCTGCTGCTGCTCACCTGAATTTTGCCAATGGGGGTCCCTGCATCTCTTTCTCTATCTACCCCTCCCTGCAACTCACTGTTTGACCTGAGAACTTATTGGCTGAGTGAGGGTGGTTCTCTCTTGTTTATTTCGCTGAGGGTGGGGTTTTGGTTTGCAACATATAACCTTGCAATTATCGTTTTGTTAAAAAAGGTGTATACATACATTATCATATATTTTACACATATTTTGGGGAAAAGGTTCAATGCAGAATCTTATTTGTCTTGCACGTACAATGATACACTAGAATAACAGCCCGCATGAGCTTCTTTGTATTTAATCTTTTCCAAAGTCATAATAATCATCCTATATATAGTTTAATATACAGTACAGACCAAAAGTTTGGACACACCTTCTCATTGAAAGAGTTTTTTATTTTCATGATTATGAAAATTGTAGATATACACTGAGGCATCAAAACTATGATTTAACTCATGTGAAATTATGTAAGTTCTAAAAAAAAAGTATGAAACAACTGAAAATATGTTTTATATTCTAGGTTCTTCAAAGAAGCACCTTTTGTTCTGATTACTGCTTTGCACACTCTTGGCATTCTTTTGATGAGCTTCAAGAGGTAGTGACCTGAAATGGTGTTCAACAGTCTTGAAGGAGTTCCCAGAGATGCTTAGCACTTGTTTCGCCTTCACTCTGCGGTCTAGCTCACCCAAAATCATCTGGATTATTGGTCTCTCCTTATTGGTCAAAAAGGCCTTACACAGCCTGGGTGTGAATCTACAGTCAATAGTCATGAAAAGAAAGGAAAATCATTGAATGAGAAAGTGTGTCCAAACTTTTGGTCTGTACTGTATATACATATAATGTGTATATGGGGTTGTTCACACTGAAGGGTACAAAAGTGTGACAAAAGGCCAAAAATTAGATTTTAATAATCAGAAGATATATTATGTTTTTCATGTATCCAAATACTTCCTGTCTATTTGAAGTTGAGACCACTTTCCTATAGCGACCCTGTTTATTTTATCTAATAGACGTGATTATTTGACGGAATGAGCGTTGTTTGTTACATATTTTTAGATGTCCACATTTGATTAATAGATTCTTTTTTATACAGAATAAAAAACAAAGTGATTACTTTCATATAGAAAATCAATTAAATGTGAAACCAGACCAATTTTTTCCTCAAGTTTAATTTTTAGAATATAACTGACGGAAACGATCACGTCCGTTACACATATTTCAAGGGTCATTAAAATTTTGTATTGATTATTTTCTAAATGATTCCTGTTTAAATCAAGTGATTTACTTTTGTTGTGTTAGCCATTTTCATCTAGTGGGAGTTCATCTGCTGCTTTTTCAGACTGAGGACATTTTAGTTTCATGTCACTGGCGTCGCAGTAGAATGATCAAATTAGAGCCTGATCTTGTTCGTTCAAATTTCATCAAAAATGTATTTGTAAATCTTTCCTGTTGAATTTATCCACACTATTTCTTTGATACGTCTGTGTTTGAAATCTTGTTTCCAATCTATGATTGTAATTTGAGTTATAACTTTTTAAAGCCCTGATACTTTAATTGACTTTTTATTGTGAACGCACTCAGATCATATTGTGATACAGTGGTAATGCTCACCCTACTAATGTGACAGAGGTTGTATCCAGTGGGCCTGTTGAGAGGGGTCAGAGGAACCAGGGGGGAGCGACGGTGTTTCAGGTGTAAGAGGATATGAGTCACACGTGAAAAAAACCATCTGAGAAACAACTTTACTATGTTCAAATTCTGTGAAAGGCCCTTCTGTGTGTTTTCTTTTAAGTGAATGTTAGTTACTTCTCAAATTGTGAAAATGGAGAGACATTTTTCGAATGTAAGCGCCTGTTAGACCCGGCCGCACAGGTCCCTGATTGTGTCCAATTAATTTGAAATCCTTGTAGACAGCTGAGGCCCCTCACAATTGGTCGAACTATTCTCGTCCTGCAAATCTTTCTGGTGATTTTTATGTTAAGGGCAGGGACTGTTATAGATATGTATTATCATTATTATTATGAATATATATTTTACAATTAAATACAACTGATGTGTGCTACACATCACCTTTAAGTGGGGTGAAAGAGTGAGTGTTGTGTATGCAGTTGTATTGTGAGATCCTGACTTGTGTTTTGTGCCGTAGGGCCTGAAAAGTCCTCAGGAGAACATGCCGGACCTCAGCCCCGTGGAGAGCATGCGGATCCCCAGTCAGGTCAGGGCTCAGGAAACACTACTGCACCACTGTACTTTGGAAAGACACTCATCGAGAATTGTTTGATTTGAAAAATCTGGCTGGAGTAGTGAATGTATTAAGCCATGGTGATGATGTGAAGCGTGGGCTGGGCCACGCTGACACCCCTACTGCCCACTAGGTGGTGGTAGCAGCTTTATTTTGACTGCTGTGGCACTGCAGCTAAGTTTCCATACATAAGTTTTCTACACACAAAAAATATTTCAATCCATAATCAAACTAATAACATTTGTTTTGTACAGCCCAAAATCCCAAGTTTTATAGAGGAAATACCTTACAAAAGTGTAAAAACTGTACATTTTTTATTATAATGATTAAACTTTCAAAGATTTCAAACACGGATGGTCCATAGACAGGACAGGAACAAACTAAAACAAAGACATCAGACTCTGTATTGGCTCTGACACCAGAGTCCACATATGCTTAGACATCACACTGAACTTATTGCCAGATCAATCAGCGTCATGACTAAATTGTTCTTTGAGCCTGCACATGCAGCTGTACATGAGGCTGCGCAGCACTACAGGACTGTGGGAACGCCCACATGCACAAGCATTTGGCTTGTACTGTTCCACCGCAAGACCCTCAGCAACATCATTATTCCATCATTATAGGCCACATTGAATTTGTGCTGGGGGCGACAGTGGCTCAGTTAGTATATCATTGATCTTTGAACCTAGTGTGCGTGGGTTCAATCCCCCCACGACTTCTGTGATCTCCTCCCACTGATGTCGGCTGTCATTGTGTCCTTGGGCAAGACACTTTGCCTGAAGCCCCATCTGAAAAACCAAGGTTGTGTCACCACTGACGGTGAAGCCACATTCCGGTGTATTCACCACCTGCAGGGGCATCAGTGAATGGGCTGGTGCTATGAGGATTTGGTGGTAGCTTTGATTCCCTCCCCCTATTCAGAAATGGACAAATAAAGGGGAGGGAAATGAATGAATGAATGACTCTGTGCATGCTGCTCTTTTTATATTTCTTTTTCATTTGTCTCTCGACATAAATGACTCTCCACTCTTGGACCGTGAGTTGTTTAAAGCTTTGGAAATGTTTAACCTATCCATGCTTTAATACAGCACACAGATGAATCAAGTGTGAACATTCAGCATCATTTGAACATTTGCTGAGGCTATTTAAAGGCTGTTTGGTCACTTGTGCAAGCCCAGCTTTCCAGTTTTTAGATTATTAACTAAAATTGTTATTTTTTTGTCTTCCTGTAAAATAAATAAATACAAACAAAATTGAGTTTGTGTTCATAACATAAGAAAATGTGCCTCATTTGTTCCAAGTGCACGATGAAGCACATCCTTGTGTTGGACCTGGTTGATGTGTTGTGCTGTATGTTGCAGGAGGAGATGCGTGAGCTGAGGGAGCAGCCGCTGGACCAGGCCGCAGAGCAGGAGATCATCAACAGCATAGAGGAGGTCTACTTCTCCTCAGACTCTTTCGACATGGTGCAGTATGAACTCGAGGTTAGACCTTCTCTTTTCTGGGCTGCTTTTTACAAGGAATGCTTGAAATGTTACTGGTATTGGGTATCAGTGCTGATATCAGAAAACCTTTTGGATAGGTTCTTGGTTGTGTGCTTAATTGTGTAATACAAATAAACTTGCTTTGCCTTTTTATTTGCTGATATTCACAGACAGAATAGAAATAGAAAAGTGCTTTACAATTGTTGTGGGTGTTTTTCCTCACACTCCAGTGATGGGAGCATGATCAGCTGTATTCAAGGGGTGCATGCCAGACCTATTTTTAGTGGTAGGGGAAACCAGAGCACCCAGAGGAAACCAACACAGACACTGGGAGAACTCACACAAACAAACTCCACACAGAAAGGCCTGGGGGTGGAATCAAACCTAATCACTGCGCTACCGTGCCACCAGCACTTTTAATAGTCCTAATTACTACCGTGCTGTCCTAATTGCATACCCCCGAACACCACAGTTTGTCTGGAAATCTACCATCACATTCCATCTACACAACAAACCTCACCAGCCCGGCCACGCACACACACATGCACTGAAGGACAGTACATACATACACACGGGGTATATAGATTGTACAATTTTTATTACAAAAACATATCGAATTAAAAATGGAGCCTCCCAATTACAGTCCAACTTTCAATGCCAGAACCTTCCTGCCCTATGACACATGTAGCTCCTAATTACAGTTTGCATGCACGTGCAAACACACACAGGCTCGTACACACACACCACACACGTAGGCTCACACGTGCGCGCACACACATGCTCACTTTCACGCTCACACTCACACTCACACAGATATGCACACATATACACACACAATTGCATACGTATGCATGCAAACATACACACTGAGTTCCTCTAAGTTCAAGTTGGACCATGTTACAGAATCTTTCTCATCTGCACTGTGTCCAAAAGGAAGCTGGCCTGGCTCTGGGCTTAGTCCTGTGAGTGACAGCGTCCTTCTCTGTGGAGCAGCTCTAGATTGATGGTTTGTGTTGCTGTGCAGAACAGAGCTCTGAAATCTCATTAAAATCCTCAGAGAACAGCTCTATCTCAAATAAGGCCCTCACTCATGAGGAACTTCATTACCCATCATCCTCTGGGCCAGTGGTTTGTGACATCAGTCTGGCTTCTCCCTCCTAAGATGTTTAGTTTAGTTTAGTTTAGTTTGCCTTAGCTCACTGCGTACTCCCTCTCAAGTCCTGAGGCCACTGGTCACAGGTCTAGCACGAGATAATAGGCACTAAGAATGCTCTATGTGGAGAAGATTTATGCAAGGTAATGTTCATTTGAACTTGAACTTGAAACACAATCTATGTATTTTAGAACTATGTATTTTATCACACTAGCAGTGATGATAATAATAATAATGATATTAATGATATTACTATATTAATATTCCTTATAATTGTTTATATAATATCAGAATTAACTATTTGAATTAATGAAATCCTACAGTGGGGGTAGTTGGGTGTGCGGTCTGGGCCGGCTCTACTCCCTCTCATCTCAGTCTCGTCCCTCCAGTACCCATCACACTGGTCATGATTGCTCTGTTTTTAACGCAACACACTAGTCAGGGCCCAACACAGCATACACTGAGAATAGGGTAAGCTCTAAGCTTATTTTAATGCACTTCATTAAACCAGGGGAAAAGATAAAAGAAAACCTTTTCACAAATCCACAAAAATAGGCAGCGAGTGCACACGGAATTGGTGTCCTGGGGTGTGCTGGGAGAGATGCACTCTGGAGGTCGGGGGGGGGACACGCCTGGCTTAGTACTCAACTACACCCACGAGTAAATATTAATTCATTAAAAAATAAATAAATGTAATATAAAGATCTATAAATAATGATCCACACACCCTTCTTGTTACAGTCCCCCTGCCCTTTTCTCCTTACTGATTGTTATTATTGTTATCACCACCCCAACCTTGTTATTTTATGTCTCTCTTGTATATGTGAATAGAGGTGTATAGATGTGTATATGCACGGGCGTATAGTTATATATGTATGCATATGTAGTTAAATATGTATGTGTATGTGAGTATATGTGTGATATATACGCGTTATGTGGGTGTGTATGTATGGGTATGGGTATATGTGTGTACGTATATGTATATATGTATATATGGATGTATGTGTGTGTATTGTGTGTATGTGTGTATATGTGCACATATGTAGGCACATATATATACATAGTGTGTTTGTGGGTGTATAGATGTGCAAATATTGTCACTCTTCTATTTACGCTTCCTTCTCTCCAACTAAAGAATCCTATGTTACCGCCGATGTTGACTAACTAACTTTTTTCCTTCCCCCCTCAACCCTTTTTACCGCCAATACCTGTTTCCCTACCTGTATATCTACCCGTACGTCTACCTGTACGTCTACCTGTATGTTCACCTTTATGTATACCTGAATGTCTATGTATGTTTTTGTATCACTGTTGTTTTGTATGTCTTCTTTAAAAAAATAAAAATAAAAAAAGAAAGAGACGGGAGCGTGTATGATGATCATAAAACTAAAATAGAAGCATCTAAAAAAAAAAAAAAAAAGAACTTGAAACACAAGCACGGGGAGATTTTGGTTGACACCCATCTATCTTGGTCAACTAAAATATTAGAAGATGCACACTTGTCCATCCATCCATCCATTTTCTTCCCCTTAATCCATTTCTGGGTCAGGGGGATGGCAGTCAGAGCCCCTGCAGGTAGTGAGTCGACAGGAGCCTTAATCTTCCGCACTTGCACACTTGCAATTTGCTTTATTGAAAGAGATTCTGAGATTTTGATTCCAGATTCCCGCTAAAGTGTTTGAGAATTGGAAAACCAGTGGGAAGCGAATTCCGCCATATTCAATGGTAAAAAGCATATTAACTCATTGACTGCCAGCCGTTTTTGACGATTTCACTGATACTCAAGACCCACAGAATATTATGTGCTATGACTATGTGAAATATGTGAAGCAGATTCTGAAACACTGGATTTTCTCCTTTCATCAGCAAAAATACGTTCGGTTTTAGCTATTTTTGTTGTATTGTAATCCTCAGTCGAATAGAGGGAAGTGACAGAAATCACTGGTCTCAGACAAATGCCGTCAATGGCGGTCAATGAGTTAATCTAAAGAACTACAGTGTCTTTTGATTCTGTTCTGGGCTGAGAGCTGATTGGCTCAGTGAGGATGACGTTTTCGAATCCGACTTTGTTGCTTTAAATAACAAGAACAATGCTTGATGAAGTAATTGTATTACCAAAAGTTTTTTGGTAATACACTTTTGAGTTTGTTTCATACAGAGTTTGGTAAAACTCTGAAACACAAACAGGAAAAGGTTTTTACACTTGTTCCTAAGAACAGCAGTGGCGGTATTTATTATGTGTGTGTGTGTTTCACAGAAGCTGCCCCCGGAGCTGAGCCTCCTGGAGCTGGAGCAGCACAGGGACAAGCTGAAGAGGCAGCAGGCAGCAGTGAGTTCAGACATCCCATAATGCCAACACAATGACTGTATGGACACCCCATAATGCCTGGGCCTTCCCATACCCCCGTTCTAAATTGAGCAGATAGTCAGTTTGCTCTTTGTTTTACAGTTAAGTTTTAAGGCTGAACGTAATACCCTGCACTGTCATAGGCTTTAATCACTGCACATATTTTACATTGCACCAGACGTCACTTAATAGTGACATCAGGAAAGAGTTTAAGTCCTTTTAAACCCCTTAGATGATCAGTTATACAATTTTAAGCCTTAATCTTCTTAAAGAGAGGGCTGAACATGTTGCTCACACAGCCATCAAAAGAGTGGCGCAATATGCTGAAGATAATTACATAAAAGCTCTCCTGGACTTACATGCGCTTAATTTTTCACTTAAAGTCTTAAAGTTAAGTGCATCTGATGAACTGCAGAAAAGGAAATACACCTATCATTTTAAGTTTAACTGAGGAGGAGAGCAGATGGCTATGATATTAATTGGACAGAATGAGCACTGGCTAATAATACAAGGGGGCCGCGAGGATTTGAAATGCATGCTTCAGATTGTTATTTTTACTGTGAAATACTATGCGAGCTACTGTGACAATGCAATTTCCCTTGTGGATCAATAAAGTCTGTCTAAGTCCAAGTCTGGTTTCACTGGATTCTGCTGACAGGACATTTTTAATTCAGCTTGTCTCTGAGGTACAGTAACAGAGGAAATGTTTGAAATGGTTGCAGATCCTCACAGTTTATTTTGTCAGCTCGTTCACAAGTTGGGGGTGCGTACATCCTTTGTCCATCCTAGTTTCTGTCTTTGAACAAAGTTGCAGTTGAGCATTTTCCTCACATCATCTCATAAGTCCCCAGCGGCGGGGTGTTAAACTGCAGTTGTACCTCCCCAGAAAGGCCTGTCTGGGGACTACCTCCCTCACTAAAACGAGTAGAGTTGGGCGTACATGAGCCAGGGCCATGGTAATGACTTATGTGTTCCCTCTGCAGGTGTCTAAGAAGGTGGCAGACCTAATCCTGGAGAAGCAGCCTGCCTATGTGAAGGTATGTGCTGCCATCATGTCAAGGATTTTTACATTCAGGATCCTGCTTTACACTGACCTGAAAATCTGGAACCTGTACGAAAATGCCTCCCTGCCGCATCTGTCTAAATATCCTATGGTATCACCAGTTAATGTTGTTTTCCACTTTAAAAACTAAAGTATCGCCTCGAGAATGTCAAGTTTATCTCCCTCGCTAAAATAACTTTGGTACGTCTGTGTGTCATCAATTTCCCAGTGTCATGTTAGATATCATCATGAAAGCATGTAATAAGGGTTGTTTCTGTATGAGTATGTTTGCTGACTGTTATTATGACTTATCATGGTTTCCTCTATTACAAACACACATAATGCAGAGAATGTGTTTTTTAGGGTTAGAGCAGACTAATGTGAGATTAGGATAATCATCTGTGTGTGTGTGTGTCAGGAGCTTGAAAGGGTGACCTCTCTGCAGACCAACCTCCAGTTGGCAGCGGTCATCTGCACCAATGCCCGAAGGTACAGACTCTTCTCACTGTTAATCATATTAGATTACCTTTTTGAGTAACAAAGTAGTGTAAGTAAACATTGGAAAGCCCCTAACTGGGATTTTGTCCTTTGCTTTGTGTTTGAAGGCAACTAGGCGGAGCTAAGGAGGGTTTCACTGAGGCCTGTCTAGGCCTGCTGGCCAATCAGAGGAGGAGGCAGCTGCTGACCGGTTTGCTCTCATCCCTGAGGACCATCAAGACCTTGGTGACCGCACACAGCCTGACCTCAACGGGGACATCACTAGGATTAATCTAATCCTAGACCAGGACTACCTGGGACTTCACCAGGGCAACCTAATCCTAGCCCAGGACTAACTAGGGCCTTACCGGGGCTAGCCTCATGCTAGATTAGGACTGCTATTTCACAAGGACCAACCTATTGCTAGACCAGGACTAATCTATTCCCCGACCCGACTTGACCACACCACAAATACAACACAAAATAGTTCTATTGAGCCATGTTAGAATACTGTCTACTCAATAAATCCGGCCTGGAGTTGGAGTCACAGTGATATTAAGAAGCTTGTGTCTCAATGCTCTGAATTGGACTTCTCCTTAAATTTGTAATCCCGGAGGTGTTTTCTACCGTTTTAAAACAAAATTATGGTCTCTTAATTAGTTCTGTAAATTTCTCGAGCCAATGTTAATCTAAATATCCTCCAAATAATGTTTAAGGACCAAATTGAAAGGGATGAGAAAGTGTAGAAAGTTGAATGTTATAATATAATACAACAGAAATAACAAGCCCAATGCAAGGAGTTGATCTGATTCTGATGAGGGAACAATATTGAACAAATTAATTGTGAATATAATTAGTGGATATATTACAATGCCAAATTATATAAAATCCGACAGGACAAAATACATATTCTTATTGTTATATCCTGTTGTTTGACCAAAGTGTTTACGTTTTGTGTTTGCAGCAAAGAACTGATGTACGGCTCAGTGAAATGCTCGAGGTAAACATTTTCCATATCTTCTTCTATCAAAAGTGTGTCATGGTGTATGGAAGGGGAGAGTTGCATTTATACATATTGATACAATTAACATACATTTTATTAATTCCACCAAAAAGAAGTGAACACATGTTTTCAGCTAACAGTTCACAGAAAACCACAATCTGCACCTTCAATAAAGAGTGAAGGGCTCAAAAGGTCACGGCAAAAGATGCGGGATGTTCTCAAGGTGCTGTATCAAAGCACATTGATTGAAGTTAAGGGAAAGAAAAAGTATAGAAGTAAAATGTGCACAAGCCACAGGGATGACTGCAGCACGGAGAGGATTGTCAGGAAAAGGGCGTTCAAAAGTGTGGGGGACCTTCACATTGAGTTTACTGAGGAGAGTAAGTGCATCAAAAGCACCACACACAGACGGATCATGGACATGGACTACAAATGTATTGCTCTTGTTAAACCGCTCCTGGTGGTACAAATTGATGCACAAAAATTAACATTTTTTTAATAAAATGATCAACTAATGTATCTAAATCAAACCTTTATTTTTCTTTAAGTACATCCCTAATTGCTATGATGAATAATATAGTCTCTCCACCACAGAATTGCCTACTTGTTTTGGTTTTGCTGGAAAAAAAACTGCATTTAATTGTGTAGTGAAAGCAAATTATGGAGACAAACAAACTGGAAAAGTTATGTATACTGAAAGTTATAAACTGAAAGAGGGGTCTGCATGTATGCCATGACAAGAGTGGTCTGCATGTATACCATGACCAAAGTGGTCTGTGCGTGAAGACTTAGTGATTTGAGCCCACGTCCTGGTTGTGTAGCGTGTCTTCCCCATAGAAAGCAGTGACTTGCAGTATATCAATCAATCAAGCCCGTTACAACACACAAGGCGACCAAAGTGCTTTACAATAAAATCACATAAAATCTGTTAAAAACATTCATACAACCAAATAAAACAGTCAGTTAAAACCATGAGAAACTAAAGAAACTAAAGTGTTGCCGTGCTACTGAGTATTGAAAGCCAGTCTGTATAAATATGTCTTAAGTCTGGATTTAAAAAGGCTAAAGTCAGTGATTGTGCGTAGGTCAGGGGGCAGCTTGTTCCAGAGGTTTGGTCCAACAACCGAAAAAGCTCGATCACCCCAATGTTTATCCAGGGCTAGAACACGATTTACCCTGACAAGAAGCAAGGAAGAATTTACGTTAAAGTCATGAGCAAGGACAAAAGTAGGACAGGGACTGATTGCCGTCCATTCATATCAACTGTTTATCTGGAAATGTCTCCGTTTCCAACAATGCTCCTATTTTTCTGTTATATCCACTCAGTGTTCCCCTAATGCGTGTTGACGTAAGCCGTCTTTGCTCTGGTCCTGTACCAAATGCACTTCATGCATTTCCCTGGGGCATTTTGTGCTGGTTTTGTCCCTGCTCTCTGAAGGTCATAGTTCTAATATACTTGGACTAATGCATCTGCTGTACTCAGGACCTCCTGTTCTGCACAACAGGGTTCATCAGAAGGACTCCTATAGTCTCCCGAACTCACTACTCCCTCGTCATTTCAGATATGTCAACCATTATACGCTTAACCCCCAATTAACACCTATCCTGTTCAGCGTGTCTTCGGAATGTAAACTTTATGGTAGATTCACATACACACAATTTACACCAGCAGTGTTTGCGTGTAACAAGGGTAATTATTTTCACAAATCCAGTCTGGTCACCACGGGGAAGCCTGGAAAAGGAGAAAAAAATTATCTTGGATATCAAAATTGCAGGACAGATATTCAATTAATGTCAATCTGAAATAGATTCCGGTAAAAGTTATCCTCTATTTTATTGAAGAATGTGGTTTTCATGTACTGGTTATGGGAACTGGCTCATTCAAAATGGACAGTAATTCTGACGCCAAAAATAAAGCAAAAATCTACGGACCGAGCATCAATGGATGAAGAGCAAAGTGAGTTACAAGAAGAAGTCTTGCACCTTTTGCCACATGTTTGAGCCTGATACTTCCTTGGACGAAGAGATTAGGCAAACACAGACCCGGAATCAGACCCTGATGAGGTGTTTAGATATCGACTTGATCGAATTACAACAAATACACAACAAAGTGTGGAAAGTTCTGTCCAAAAGTCAACAACGTCCATCCATCCATTTCCATCCATTTTCTTCCCCTTAATCCATTTCTGGGTCGGGGGGGACGGCAGTCAGAGCTGCACCCAGTACACTTAGCACCAGCCCCTCACTGATCCTCCTGCAGGTGGTGAGTCCACAGGAGCTGAGATCTTTCAGTTGGGGCTTTGGGCAAATTAGGGTTAAGTGTCTTGCCCAAGGACACAACGACAGCAGTCATCAGTGGGAGTCATGAAGTAGGTCTTATGGTGGGCTTGAACCCACGACCTTCAGGCCCAAAGGCCAATGCTCTACCAACTGAGCAGATTGTATCACAGATACAAATTCAATTCCATTTTCATCAGCGCTCACTCGCACATATACATTCCTTCCCCAGAATTTTTTTTTTTTAATTACTATCTCAAAAAAGGCAAATGTACGTTTTCACACACGTACGGCCATGTTTTTGCGTCGGCCTTGTGGTCCCTCGCTATCAATGGATCCTTGCTCTTTCCATTCCTCTCCCCTCTGCACATGTCTGACCCCATCGGTGGGGCAGTACCGCACTCCGGTGTAGACTGACCATTACACGTAATATAGACTGGCTGATTTCTTTATCAAAAGGTGCTGCAGAATTTGTAATAATGTCCTGTGTCAAAACATGAAAAGTCTGCGTTACTAAACAGTATGTCTTAAACGTCTTTGGCAACCAATGAGTTAATCAAATCAACGGTTTTCATGCAAGTTAATGTCGTGGAATCCTGTCAGACTGGACAATTCATACACATTTGAACATTGTAAAGCACTTTGGGTGACCATGGTCTGTAAAAGTGCGCTAATATAAATAATAAAAATAAATGAGAGTTATGAGATATACTTTATTGATCTCACAGTGGAGACATTCAAATTTTTCTATATATAGATATATATATATATCTATATATACAAAACATTTATTAAAGATTACTTATTTACAGTCCTTAACCATGGAATAACAGGAATATTCTCATATTTCATTTTCAACACAAAGGTACAATATTATAGAATAAACCGAAGATCAAACGCTGCTTTCAGACTCAAACATTTGTAAAATATAAATGTTTCCCATAAATAAATGTGATGTAAGTGTGTCCTGTATTATGTTGACATTACTTTATGCCCTTTACTTGTTCTAGATTCCGGGTAAATAAATGTGCACTTTATTTTTCCCCGTAAGGAACTTTATCTTTTGCATTTGACCCATCCTGGAATGCCACTAGGGCCCCTGCCGGAGCAGTGGTCTCCATAGGCTTGGGATTTAACCTGCTTCTTTTTATTTTTGCATGTTCTCTTCATGTCTACGTGGGTTTCCTTCACATTTTCGCACAATACCCTAGTGCATATTGTCTGTCTTCTTGTCTCTGTATACTCAACATGTGGATGTGATATTCCCTTGACCATGGCGATACTTTCAGAGACTTAACTTTATCTTGTGCTCCCTGTTAAACGCGTTATTATCTTTGATGCAAATAAATTAGCAATTTATTTTGACTGAAAGCCACATCACTGTGCAGCAGAAATTCACGTGGGCAATAGTTTGAGCTGACGAGCGCCTGGCTGTGGTGCTCGGTGTTCAGCATGTCAGCATGCTCCAGGCATCGACCACAGGAAAGGCTTGCACTGTATTTGAAGACAGTGCCAGCCTTTCCTCTTCAAAAGATGCAAGCGCTATGTTGGGTAATTAAGGCGCAGCAGATATTGGAGAAAACAAGAACAATCAGTCTCCCCTGGTGTTTATTGGACGTTCATCAGGAATCACAACTATCTCAAGGTCACAGCCCAAACGTTGAAGGTACAGTTGTTTCGCATGTGCATAGTTGTCATATGCACTGCAAAAACATCTGACTTGAGTAGCTTTTATTATTCAGATTATTTCTTTCATGTTATATAATTCTCTACACTATAAAAAGCAATAAAGGCATGCAGAGATTGGACAATTAAGCTTTTTGCTTCATTCAATCCCTTTTCAAACCGAATCAAGGGACATTTAGAACATGGGAAAATGTTGCAATAAATTATGCGTTAACTAATCAAGACTGTGGAATGCACCATCAGTGCGCTCCCATCAGGGGGGCAAAAAAATGGCGCGTTAGCGCCACCTCCTTTGCGCGGTGCGGCGAGGGCCGTTAGATGCCGCTTGCGGCTTTAATTATTATTGGTTTCTTATGGTTGTAATTATTTTTGTTTTTTTATGGTTACATAAGGCAAATATCCAAATACAAACAATCCTGACCACTTGTGTTAATAACATTTGGGTCACCAAGTTGGGTGAACCATCATTTGAGTTCTTCTTGCTCTTGAGAAAGAAAAATGACTTTCTGACAATTATATGATTGGTATCAATAACCCAAGAGTTATAAAAGTTATGATGGACAGTGTAAGTAACTCGCTGATTTTGCTTGACTTGTTTGGTGCTTTTACATCGGCATAATCATTCATTTTTTTGACCAAGCGTAAGCAAACCCATTCAGGTCTTTACCCCATCAAAGTAAGGTGAATATGGCAAACTTTAAAGTGAATTCACTGTAAGTTATTTCACTGTTCTTCTTTGTCCAATGTTGCTTCCAATTTGAAACATGTAAAAACATACCCGTCTTCATTGCTTCAACAAAAGATTTATAGATGGTTTCAGAACCTCAAATAGTGGAACTACATATTTTAAACCACCCTCGCTCAGCCTATCGGCTCCCCTCCCAAAAAGACATGTATGGACTCTCGGGGCTTGTTCTTACGAAAGAAACCAAAGATAAAATGATATGATGAAGACAACATAATGTGGTCTGATTTAATCACAACATTTGGTCATTACAACACATTTTTTGGATACATAAGCATCTTTAACTCAAATTTCAAATATTTTTCCTTTTCCAACCATGTAAGTGTACTTATTCATGGGTGACCTCTGAATGACTCCTGTATGGTGTGTGTAGGAGGAGGACTACCCAGGAGCTATTCAGCTGTGTCTGGAGTGTCAGAGAGCCGCCAGCACCTTCAAGCACTACAGCTGCATCAGGTAGGCACCGGCATGGCTTCAGGCACTGTTTGCACTGTTATCTTTTATATTCATTTGATATAGAAGAAAAAAAGTATATCTAGGTCTCTGCATTATGTAGCAGATACAGAAGGTTAAAATGAGGGCCATGGCTTTTATTGGTTATACTGTACATTTTGTTTTTGTGAAGTCCATTTATTTATATGCACTATCCGCAAGTTTTTTACTTTACATGCATCTTGAACTTTTGCACATTTTGTCTGTTACAACCACAAACATACTTGATTTTTTTACTGAAACAGACAACAGTGAAATTACACATGTTCATTTGTCTTTACAAAACAACTCAAGCTCTGCCAGATTAGATGGAGAACATTTGTGAACAGTAGCTTTTTCACTTTCACATGTCTGTACTTGGACTGGGCCTTTCTAACACATGCATGTTTTGTTTTAAACCATTATATTGTATGAACAGAGTTAGGGAAATGACTTGCCTGGAAGCAATGGAACCTAGTTTCAGTAGCTTTTCTTCCAAGATTGTCCTGATTTTGCTCCATAAACTTACCCATAAACGCCGACACTCTTCCCTGCTCAACACAGCATGATAGCATGATACCGCCACCACCATATTTGACACTGGTGATGAGTTGTGTTAGTTTTATCATTTAGCTCTTGTCAGAACACAGCCCTATCTTCCTCTTGTTGAATACTTCCCCCAATTTGCTTTTTTGAAGCTAATTTAACAATGGCTTTATATTTTTATCACTTGTTTTTTAAAGATTTGTGACCGGCCAGCAGACAATCAGAATTCCATGCAGTATTGTTGGGAAATCACTGCTGACCTTACAAACTCATGCAAACATACCATATCGCTGATGATGTATGTTCCACATTTGACCACTAGGGGCGCAAGGGATCCATTAAATTAGTTATTTTTCCAACACAAAACAATCGTTGCCCCATAAAAAAATGTGCTGTTTTAAGTGCAGCACAATTGGCCTAGCAACAGTATCACCTATTGGCACTCATATTCTTTTACTGTTTTAATTGTGTGAGTGATAACATTCTACATGAGATGATACTTATGCATTTCAAATATCTGTGTTTATTGACAAAACTTATTTCATGCAACTATTTTCAAAATCATCAGAGGTTCTGTTCTCTAGCTTTATTATGAGCAAGGCTACTGGTTCTATCTCTGTATTTACTGTCTATGCAATACTGTACGTGAATGAAGGAGATTTGACTGGTAGAAAGTGATGTGAGGGATGTCTGGAGTCTGGGATGATGATAATGATACAAATTAATTGAACTGAGTGGATAAAAGAAGATGTGTGTATTGCTTTTGAAGGTAAAATTGTTGAAAAATAACAACATTGTTTTTTATTGCTTATGGTTTGAGACAGGAGCTTTTGCCTCAACGTCTTTCATGCTCCATATTGATATTCTCTAATATTATCATTGCAAGTGGATTTTCTCAGTTTTCATGCTGAGTCTGTTTCTTTACTTGAACTACATGACCATGTTTGTCCAAGGGGACTTAAAGGAGCTATAGCCATTTCTGCAAGGTTTGAATGTTTAGCACCGCCCCTCAACTCGCTCACAGGTCTCTCATTTCCCCTACACTCTCCTGCCACACAGCCATCTAGTTTTATTTGCGATCTGATACAAATGCAAACATTAGCATGAGCGCAACTTCTTGTAAGCTGTACAAAAATCACTGGTACAAAAGCAACACACTGCTAACAAAATGTATAACTGAAAGATTATATATTTTTATAAGATTATATTGTTTTACGGCTACTTTGTTGTCCGAATGTAGTCCGAGGCTGTCCCGCACCCGCAGGTCTCTCCCATAGACTAAGTCTCTCCGGAGGATACAATCTAAGCTAGCTATGTTCACACGCTAGATTGATTTCTTCTTTTATCATTTTTTTGCTTTAGTTCCCTCTTCTCTTCCTCACTGTTGTGTCGTTTGGGCTGTTTTGCTGTGTCTGCAGTTACAGCCAGAGGAGTTATAGCCAATTCTGCTAACATGCTACTGTGTTTACCAGCTAGAGAAGCTAGAGGACGCAGCCTGTTCTGTGATTGGAGGAGAACGAGCGTCACGCTAAGTCTCTACTCAGCACTTTTTACGGCCTGAATTCATACACAGCTGAATCAATGAGCTCAAGTTTTCAATTAAATTACGAATTATAATACAACTTGAATGTAGTAATAAGCATTTTTATGAACCCAATAGAAAAAAATTGGGTATAGCGTCTTTAATTTTCCCAGATATATTATATAGGGGCGACAGTGGCTCAGTTAGTTGAACATTGGCCTTTGGGTCTGAAGGTTGTGGGTTCCAGCCCACCACAAGACCTACTTCACATTTCCCACTGATGTCTGCTGCCGTTTTGTCCTTGGGCAAGACACTTTACCCCACTTCGCCTGAAGCCACCACTGAAAGATCAAGGCTCCTGGGGACTCACCACCTGCAGGAGGATCAGTGAGGGCATGGTGCTCTGTAACCTGGGTGCAGCTCTGATTGCCACCCCTCCATATTTCTCTTTTCTTCATTTTTCACAGTCCATTCTATGCACATGTGTGATAATAATTTGCATGATACACCATACATACAACACTCAAAACTTTAGCCATTTTGTGCATAGAGGTGATGTCACCTTATGTGAAACGCTTGGATATGTGCTCCTCTCCCTGTGAGCCCGCCTCCCCCCGCCTGCACGGTGACGTAGCATGAGGCTAGTTTGATGTAAACAAAAGCTAACTCCACAGCTTTCGCTGTTAGGATCATTTCACACTTGAGAGTAAACTTTTGCCAACAATGGCCCCTCACATAGAGTCCTATGTCCTCGATCCAGAATCAGACCCTAATTATTTTGTAAACAATGACATATAGCATTGTACTCACAGAATGAGGCTTCTGTAAGCGTCTTTTATGTTGGGAATAACACAAGGTTTCCAGATCAGCTTTTGAGTAGATCCCGTTTCAAGGTAACCGTAGTTCTGGATCAGTCTTTGCTTGTGTCAACGTCACTCGCAAAAAAATATCTGCGAGTTTTGTCGCGGATTTCAGATTTGTGGATACAAGGCAGATCCCCCTGAAAAATACCTATCCCTATTCTTCGTCTTCAGGCCAAATACTCTCGTCACAAATTTACTCCAACAACACATTTTCTCCGAGTTGACATGAAGCTAACACAAAAAAGCACAGACGCTTATTCACTGGTCAGCCCATGCAGCCTCTCTCCGAGTCGGGCATGTGGTCCATAGACGGCGCTGACTCCCTGGTTGTCAATCACCTCAGATTCAGACTACTTTATTTATCCCACCAGGGGCAATTCATTTGAGCAGCACATCAAAAGAAAGAAAGAAAGAAAGAAAGAAATAACATAAATACACAGCAAATAAGAGATATGACATGAAGTGGAGCCCCATACAAACACATGAACATAACATGAACATGAACATGAACATGGGCGGCACGGTGGCTGAGTGGATAGCACTCTCGCCTCTCAGCAAGAAGGTCCTGGGTTCGAATCCCGGTCGGACCAGGGCCTTTCTGAGTGGAGTTTGCATGTTCTCCCCGTGTCTGCGTAGGTTTCCTCCGGGTACTCCGGTTTCCCCTACCACTAAAAACATGTCCAATAGTTCTGGCATGCGCTTCCTGTACTGGCCCCGCTCCCATCTCTGTGTGGAGTGAGAGACAAATGCCCAAAATTAACAATTGTAAACCGCTTTGAGACTCAGATCTGCAGTGAAAAGGCGGTATATAAATAAAGATTACTACTACATAATACAACAACAAAGCTCAAACATCAAAGTCCACATCATCAGTAGGCTACGGAGAGTTCAGCAGTCTAATAGCGTTTGGGAGAAAAGATTTTAAATGACTATTGGTTTTAGACAGTGGCTCAGTTGGTAAAGTATTGGCCCTTTGGGCCTGAAGGTCGTGAGTTTGAGCCCACCACAAGACCTACTTCACGACTCCCACTGATGACTGCTGTCGTTGTGTCCTTGGGCAAGACACTTAACCCCACTTTCCCTGAAGCCCCCACTGAAAGATCAAGGCTATGCTGCCACTGACAGAGCTTCCATCCTCCTGTGGACTCACCACCTGCAGGAGGATCAGTGAGGGGCTGGTGCAATGTGTACTGGGTGCAGCTCTGACTGCCACCCTCAACCCAGAAATGGATTAAGGGGAAGAAAATGGATGGATGGATGGTTTTACAATATGGTGCAACATAACGTCGTCCTGATGGAAGCAAAGTGAACTCATCCTCTTGGAGGCGGGCTTTTGACGTCACAGATTGGTGCATGTCACGATTTGAAACAGCTCATTTCTGTGCCTCTCGAGAATGAAAGAGAAAGATTGCTCTCTAACTAAAGCTTGAGGGAATCAATGAAAAAACTATGTGTATGGAGGCTAAATAGCTGTAATCATGTTTAAACCAGAGAAAAGACATGTCTATCAAGTCATAGAAAATCAGACAGTAAAGTATTTTATTGTGGTTATTATTTTCAGCCCTGATCAGATCTGGATTGGTTCTTTTTTTAAATATATTTGAGTCCATGTCACTAGGAACATCTATATGGAGGGTGAAATCCCTAGAGATAAAATGCATTCAAAATCAGTGCACATTTTAGACAGCGGCTCAGAAGGTTTCTCTTGAGAGCAGATATGACACATGAAGCTGTTGTCTTGGTAAGCGTGAGGAACCGCCCAGAGCCTCACGCCGTGTAATGGAATCTTTATCACGCTCTGTATTTTTCAACCTTTTATCTTGGTCGGCCTCCAATGTGCCGCCTCCAGAGGCTGATTAATTAGCAGTTCCTCATTAGATATTCATGTATTCTGTGTGATGACGGTGGCTGTTCTGGAGTCACATCTCGGAAACAAAAACACTGAATAGTGACTAATATGTTGTGCTTATGTCGACACACACATTTATGGTAAATGTGTTCTAATGACTAAAGCCAAAAGTGATATTATTATAGCAATTGTGCACAAGGCTAAAAGGACAAATGCATAATCCAATATGTTAGACTTGTTTTCCCTTATAATTCAGAGTTGTTTCGAGAGTGATTCGTGCATGGTTTATATTCTTGATATTCTTTTACACACAGGACACTTTTGGTCTCTCTTGCTACTTTGACCACAATTACCCTCCGTGCACCTTATGTTCTATTACATTTTCACATACAAAAAGAAAAAACAATGTAAATCTTTATGAGTCCTGGGATTTTGAATATTAGTCATTTGTCATTTGGGGTGGGGTCTGTTTGTGACCGTGGACCATGGCTCTGACACTACCAGGACTTTCAAACAATACTCATGAACTTTAGGATATTTTTGGATAACGAGTAGTACTGGCTTTGACTAACTAGGCCTGGGTCAGTTCTAGTCCAGTCTGTAGCCCCAGTTTACACCGATAATTTCCAGTGTGTCAGATTACATCCAAGAAAAGTTTTTCTTTCCCTTGTATCTGGCAATTCTTTATGTATGAATTTTCTAAGGATGACAATACAGTATGTATGTCATCCATCAGTTTCCCGATAATAGAAAATAAGCACTCCCAAGATGTCTTGTTTCCCTGGTGTCTCATGAGTGGGGGAATGTAAGTGCAAGACAAATAATTCTGCATTGAACATTTTGGTAACATGATCACAGCAGATCAAGCCACCATCAGACCAGAATGTCAGCTCTCGTCCCCTTTGCTGTTGGGCTCTTGTCACTCTTTTCACTTTTCCTTCTAGACTTGCACTTATTAAAGATAAGATAAGATAAGATAAGAATTCCTTTATTCGTCCCACAGTGGGGAAATTTTGATGTTGCATCGCACATATAGGACAGTAGTAAGAGCACACAGGGAGCACACACAATATATACACTATATACAAATAAGTAGTAGCTATGTTTCTTAACTAACATAACTAGCTGTAGATGCTGAAAAAGCTTCAATACCAGTCAAAAAATATATATGTAGTAGTGCAGTTATATACTGTACAGTTAAATAGTGCAGGATAAAAAGTATATAAGTAAAGTGACATGAGGTAAAGTGACATTGTTCTGTGACATCCTAAAGTTGTAGTATTGCACATTGCACATGATTTAAGAATTTACTTAATTACAGATGAATGAAATTTACAGGCTCAGCAGTTCTTATTGTACAGTCTGACAGCAGCAGGAAGGAAAGACCTACGGAACCTCTCCTTCACACAGCGAGGGTGAATTAGTCTGTCACTGAAGCTGCTCTCCAGAGCAGAGAGAGTGTCCTGCAGGGGGTGACAGTCATGGTCCAGCATAGATGTTAGTTTGCTCAGGACCCTCCTGTCCCCCACCTGCTGCACTGTGTCCAGGGAACAGCCCAGGACTGAGCTGGACGTCCTGATGACCTTGTCCAGCTTCTTCCTGTCCCTCTCTGTGATGCTGCTGCTCCAGCAGACCACACCGTGGACCACACAAGATGGCTGATGCCACCACAGAGTCATAGAAGGTCTTCAGGAGTGGCCCCTGCACTCCAAAAGACCTAAGCCTCCTCAGTAGGTAGAGGCGACTCTGGCCCTTCTTGAAGAGGGCGTCTGTGTTATGAGTCCAGTCCAGTTTGTGGTTAAGATGAACACCCAGGTACTTGTAAGAGTCCACTCTCTCGATGCCGTACTTAAGCATGCCGTACTTATCATAGTTGTATATTTTAGTGGCAATAAAGAATAGGATTTTGACCATTTGAATACCGACAAAGTTGGTATTCAAATGGTTTTTGTGCTGATCTTTTGGAAAATGTGTGCATTTATGAAATGCAAATCAAAATTTATAAAAGGCTTTTTTGTGCATTAATCAAACCTCCCACAGCATTATTAATTCAAAATATACAGTGGTGGTAACGACAGCTGCCCTGGGAGAGACTGACGGAAACAAAGCAACTAATCTGTGCCATAGGCCCCTGCTGCCAAGGCTTTCACATGCAGATGTCTCAACCTTATCTTACCGTTTTTGTGTGTGTGTGTGTGTCTCTCTGTTTATTGTGTTTGCAGTGAGCTCAACTCCAAACTACAGGACACACTGGAGCAGATCGAAGTGAGTCACTTTTGTTGCTCATAATTTTGAATTGATATAACGCAATTGAAATATTCTGAGATGAATTATAATTTCTATCCCTGTATTTTAGTTGAAAACAAAAAAAACATAATATTTTTCTCCAACCCCCTCTAGCTGCTATTGACTTTGAGCTTACAAGCCTCTGTTTAGGGCTCTTCATGATCCTGGTGTTTTAAGTTGAATGTTGCCTCTGTAAATCCAGATATGGGCACTAATGATTGACCAATCAGAGGCTTTTGATTTCTTGTCTTAGCAACCACTTTAGCTACATGTTAGTTTTCATCTGCATCTACTTTGTCGCATATAGGTTACCTCGTACAATGGCAATATAAGGAACTGGGTTCCAAACCAGCCACTGTTCAAATTGCCTTCTTTTGCATGCAGCAAATACAGCACTAGTCCACTCCTTTACAGCCTATAGTCATCATTCATACTGAAATATGACCTTAATATATAGATTAGTAATGGAAATTCCTGTCTGGGTGATTAAACCGTATATCAGATAGAAGCATGTTCCCTCTTCTTCTAACACAAAGAAAAAACGGCTGATGCGTGGTCTTATAACCAGCCTCCGCCGTGACCCTGCACACTGCTTTTTATGCGTTCTGAAACCATCCTCTGATGTACAGGCAGATTAGCAGCGTTGATCCTTCTCAGCTCACATTTCCTCTGGGTTTGTGTCTCACAGGAGCAACTGGATGTGGCTCTGTCCAAGACCTGTAAGCACTTTGACGTGCTCCACTACACAAAGGTGCAGAGAGCCTACGCCCTGCTGGGGAAGACTCAGGTCAGTTCCTTCAAACCACAGCCCAGAACAGCATTTTTACTCCGTTCTTCAACCAGGGCACTGAAAGGCACCAGTCTGATGATTGTCAAAGGGGTGGTGCCAAATGATTGTATGAATGTACAACGTGAGCAAATTTCACAATCCAAGCCTTTCAAGATGGACTTCTGATACTGTTGATAGAGCTTCTTTTTACTAATAATGCATCACTCTTGTATGGTTTTCATTCAGTCACTCAAAAACGCGTCACAGTATTATTTATTGACATTGCCACAGCTGGCCTGGGGCAGACTGACAGAAGCTGTGTCATCGGCCACTCAAAGCACCACAAATCACTCACTAACACACTACACTTAGGCAAGTCCTGAGCAGAGGCCTGCTCAACCCAAACATGAAAAGCTAATGTTTACGTACCTCCCTGTTTGTCAGATGGCCATGGACCAGTTGCACATGCACTTCACCCAGGCCATTCACAACACGGTGTTCCAAGTAGTGCTGGGATACGTGGAGCTGTGTGCCGGAAACGCAGACACTAAGTTCCAGAAGATGCAGTACAAGGACCTGTGTACGGTGAGCTTCCTGCAACACACACATTATAGGACACAGAGGGGTCAAAACCACTGTATATATTAACAGACGTAGTCACGCCTATCTCTGCCGTTCTAACTAATGGGCCAAAAATTGGGCTTTCATTGAGTGATTCAAAATGGCCGCTGGGGCTGGAAAATGTGAAAAAACGCATCTGCGCATGCGTCAGCCTGCACGAGCTCCATTCATTTAAACGAGTGACTTCAAAAATTCACAGCGAGTAAACTAGAGTGGTCCAAAAAAATTCACCCCCCTCAGCATTGACACACATGTGGAACGGAGCTTTAGGCCAAGAGCCAACTTTTGGACCATCCTGTAAAGGTGTTTTCGAGAGGTAAGAAGATGCTATATGTTAGCATTGGCTAATTCTTATTCCTGGTCCACCCCCATCGGCCCGGGTGGTATTGCAAGCATGTCAGCGTACATCATTTTTGCCACTTTTGGCAAAAATGCTACGGCAGTGTTCTCTTATCAAAAACTGTCCCACAAATAAGCCCCCCACCCCTTCTGTTTAAATGCACTGTGTGAAGCACTTTGGGTGACCTTCGTCTGCAAAAATGTGCTATATAAATAAACATCACATACTTTCTCTGTTTATACACTCATTGCAAACTCTGTGGACCATGTTGAACGGCTATTATGTACACAAATATACCAAATGTGTTCTTGAAAGTAAAGTTAATTTTTCTTGTGTGTGTGTGTCCCCCCATATGTGTGTCTGTGTCCGTGTGTGTGTCCGTGTGTGTACCACAAACTGGACTGGACTCAGCAACACAGACACTATCTTCAGGAAAGGCTTCCTGTTGAGGAGGCTCAGGTCTGTTGGACCTGATGTGAAGCCGGACCTCCTGCTTCAGTCTTTTGGAGCGTGGGGGTTGCTCTTGATGACTCTCTAATGACTATAGTGTCATCACCGACTCGTATGGAGTGGTCTGTTGGAGCAGCAGCATTACAGAGAGGGAGAAAAAGAATCTAGACAAGGTTATCAAGAAGTCCAGCTCTGTCCTGGGCTGTCCTCTAAACACACTGAGGCTAGTGGGGGACAGAAGGTGCAGTTGTGCTGCCAATGAACTCTGCTGACACAGATCAGAGAATCAAACCGTTACAGATAGGTGTTGCTCCATGGTGGGGGTTGACAAATGTCCATGAATGCTTATAAATGTCCATAAATGTTGTAGAATGAGAGTGTCCTGGATCATCAAAACCCAGTGGGATATTTACAGACTTATTAAGAGATTGATCCTGCAGACTCCTGATGCAGACCCCTGATGCAGACCCCTGATGCAGACCCCTGATGCTGTCCCCTGATGCTGTCCCCTGATGCAGACCCCTGATGCAGACCCCTGATGCAGACCCCTGATGCAGACCCCTGATGCAGACCCCTGATGCAGTCCCTGATGCAGACCCCTGATGGTCTTTGTGCCCCACTTTGATTTTGCTTGCAACTAACAGAAGACGATAATAGTTTGCTTTCCTTGCTGCCATCTCACACTGTGCTGATGTTACACTGGTGCACTGTGGGACTCCGGGATCCTCCCGCTGTGTGCTGCTTATTCTCCAACAACATAAATGCTCTCTTCATGCGACAAGACATGAAAGTCACCAGAAGATGTACATAACATACACATGTCACTTGCTGCACAGGGCAGCTCTAAAGTTTAGAAGTTATTATTTTTTCAGAGAATATGGATGATTGCTTTTATGTTTGCTTTTCAGTTAACTATACTAATCTGAACAGTGGTCATGTTCACCCTGTCTCGTAGTCCCTCATTCACTACAGTCCCATACTAGTGACTTTATAAGGAGACTTTGAGACGCTGCTCAGTCTCAGTCTGGGTTGAAAGACTCGTCCCCAAAATTCACCCAAATTGAATTTCTGTTACAAATACTGCAAAATTGACTGGACTAATATCTGTTGTACAAGTTTTAGTCAAGATGGATCACTCAGTGAATTTCGAATCTGACTGGATTTTCTTCTTTTTGCCCAAGAACTCTCAAGATAAGGTATCTGCGTAGTATATGTGTATTGTTCATTGTTTCAGTACAGCTGAGCGTGAAAACAGTTGTCTTCATTCTGTTGTGTCCTTTCCCTTTTGCCGACTGTTGTTAAATCTCCCAATGTTTTGTGGTCTGTAGTAACCACTCTTGTGACTAGCGCTCAATAATACGTTTCAAGATTGATTTTGGGAATACTTGAGTGCACTACTTTGTTCCTGTTGTTGGACAGTTGGACACCCCAAAAAATGCCATGGCACCCATTAGAATTGCTCAGGACCTCTTTCACTGTGACCTTGATGTGTACTCCTTCTGTTTGAGCTGCAGATCCTTGTCATTGCATAAGCGTAATAATGCCACTCTCATTTGCAGCTCGTTAAAACAGTTCTTAAGGTGTGGCCCCATGCTGAGCTTCTCTTGCGTCTAGCGCTTCAGAGAATTCCCACTGAATAATAATTAGCGCTTGCAGTAATTAGTTTTACATATCGGCACGATTCAAGGATACGCTAAAGCCAGAAGTTAATCAAAGCACATTTTGATGACAAGATTCTGTTTAGTCACAAATATACCTCTGGCCTTTCAACACATCTCATAGATTCAAGTCCAATTTCAATCCGAACCATTTATGAATACATCAGTTCCCAATTCACCCTGTTGCTCTGGAAAACACAGAAATCATGTGGATGGCACTATATTTATGTTGCAAATGTACGTTTCCACTTGCGGATATATTTCTGATTATATGTTTTATGTTCTTACAGCGATGTTGTTCTGAATTATGGTCTTTCACAAACTATACAGTGCACCACAGCACCAGTAGCTTCGGCCTGCCGATTAGAAACACTTCAAGTGGAAAATCACTAGCTTGTGCAGATTGTCCTCATGATGAGTTCAACTTTAACCACAGTTGCTAACCACACTGATGTCTGCTGTCGTTGTGTCCTTGGGCAAGTCACATAACCCCACTTTGCCTGAAGCCCCTGCTGGAAGATCAAAGCTCCTGTGGACTCACCACCTGCAGGAGGATCAGTGAGGGGCTGGTGCTGAGTGTACTGGGTGCAGCTCTGACCCAGAAATTGATTAAGCGGATGAAAATGGATGGATGGATGGATTCTAATCACAGTTGCTTCAGAAGTGTAATAACATTTCCATACTCCTCTTTTTGGTGACACACCATCATAATAGATTAAAACAACATAACATCATTACTCAACACTTAAAAAACTCATAAAATACTCAAAAATACCAAAATCCATCTGTCCATCGGGTGGTTTTCACATATTTCTTTGAAAACTCTTCCACTCTACCACTTTCTGTGTTGATTTCTTCTTCAGTTTGAATTTCATTCTTGTGTCAAGTAGTATATTCTTCGCTATATCTTCCAATAACAAGTTTCAGCTTTAGTGTCCAAATTCAGCATTCCAATTCAGTCCAAATTGTTCCAAATTTTGTCCATGCAAAGAAGATGATGGTATTGTCCATTGCTCAGAAGCGTACAGCCTGAACTGATTGTTATCAGGGGCTGTGCAGATTGTCCAAGTGCGCTGATCCAGATCCATGGTTGATGTTTTTCAATTGTCTTACAAAAATAAAACATGACGTCCAATGATGAGTTCAGCTTTAGCCACAGTTGCTTCAAAAGTGCTACAAAAGATCCATCCATCCATTTTCTTCCCCTTAATCCATTTCTGGGTCGGGGGGGTGGCAGTCAGAGCTGCACCCAGTCCACAAAGCACCAGCCCCTCACTGAGGTTACAAAAGATCCATGTGTTATAACTTTGTTTTCCTTTCTTCACAGCACATTACTCTGGACAGTTACATTCCCTGTCTGACAGACCTCTGCAAGGCATTATGGGAAGTGATGCTAAGTTACCACTGCACAATGGAGTGGCACGAGGAGCACGACAAGCAGGAGGGCACTTCAGGTAATGGACTTCTGCTTTCTGCGACTCACTTATCCTGTCAGCCAGCTCTTGAGGCTGCTGGCCATTTAAACCTAAACCAGGACTTTAACCCTGTTGTAAGTCCAATAAAAAAAAAAAAAAGTTATTCCAGGACGCCCTGGAGTCTCTGCCCTTTCAAAACACAAAATTTGAAAATGTGTTGTTTTCTGTTGCTATAAATCAGTGGTGTCCAAACTGGTTTATAAAGGGACGTGTGGCTGTGTTCTATCAGACTAAGAAGGAGAGAAGACTCCACCCCAGGTCAATCTTGTTCACTAGGATCCCATGGCATTTTTAGCAGCTTCTCATGCTTCTGTGACGCTGTAGACAGCAGAGGGGCCGCCAATGCTTAAATATCTTGTTGGAAGCAGCCCAATTGTTAGCCCAATAACAATCATCCCAGATCCGATTCACAAAAGCTGGTCTTGTTCAGTTTTTTTTGTAGAGAATGATTAGGGTTCCACCCTTAGAACCTTTTTCAGGGCCAATAATAAAATAGTTAAGGAGACTGATATTTGCAGAAATAACCAATATTTGCAGAAAAGTATTTGCAGAAATGTATTTGCAGGTAACATTATGGGGCCGCAACTAACTATTGTTTTCATAATGTTAATTCAAAAAAGCCAAATTTTCTGATTACTTTACAAATTGATTAACGAAGAACAGTGCAGCAAAGTCCCAGGCTGTGCGGCTGGCCATTTGTTTCTGCTTGCGGCCATCTCCAGATGAATACACTGAGGCCCAGGTCCAAAATACATTATATATTTTAATCTGATAGTCATGTAGTAAAAAAGTATTTGAGCCTTCTCCGTCTTTCAAAGATGTTTGTGGTTTTAATAAATAAATAAAAAGTACACCATTGTTCCTCATCAGAAACTGTCCTGCATAGACTTCTGTCATAAACATTTAACTGCTTCTCAAGTTCAAGTTCAAGTTGTCTTTATTGTCCCACTATTGGAAATTGGTGTTGCAGCAACAGTCATCTAAAAACAGACAGATACAGTAAGATCACAACATTGACAAAAACAAGAACAAAAGAGAATGTCACAAAACTAATTTTCAGTGCAAATATGACAAAAATGAGGAAATATAGTGTGATCTCTAAGTGTTCATTGATCTTTCATGCACAGACAGTTTTAAAGACCCATATCTTCGTAGGTGATTTAAAAAAAAAAATACTATATGAGGCCTGTGAGACAAGCAGCGTGCTGCGTGTCGCCGGCGCCACCTCTCTTTTAATAATATGTGGAGACTGTATAGTATGAGTCAGTATACTGACTGACTGTATAGTATGAGGTAAATACAGTATATAAGTGGCTGCTGTGTACCTGTAGGGGATCTTCCAGAGGAGCCTGACGAGGGAGTGGACCGCTCGTACGTCAAGAAGAAGCTGGAGCACGGTCTGACGCGGATTTGGCAGGTGCAGTTTTTGCCGCTCTTCTGTTTGTGTGTTTGTTTGTGTGGGTGTGAGTTTGTGCGTGTTGTGTTTATGTGTGTCCAGTGTGTGTTCTCGTGTGTGTAACAGTGTGTTCTCCTCAGGACGTGCAGCTGAAGGTGAAGCCTTTCATCCTGGGCACAGACATGTCCAGCTTTAAGTATGATGACTTTATCGTGGTGCTGGACATCATCAGCAGGTCAACCCATTTTTGCACACTTACATATACACACACGCACACACACACTTGTTTTGGTGTCTGCTAGCACAGCATACACACACCTCTGACAGAATGTTGCGTTGTAGCGTTTGTCAAACAAGTGTTCTCCGGTCCCTAGTGATCGGAGACACGACACTGATCATCACTTCATCCGGATTAGTCACATGAGCTGCTTTATCCAGGGACAAAACTGTTTTGTTTGTCTTATTCATGGCTACTTTTAGCTAGCATTTATAGCAACAATATGTAGACACACAGCTCGGTTTATTCATCTTGTTGTCTGTGCTCCTTTTTATCCCTCTAATATGTGCTGCAACCCTAACTTTTCCCACCGTGGGAGGAATAAACCTTCTGTTATCCCTTTGCCGCATGCCCGTTGTCTTGAGACTTGAATATGGGCCCTGCTCCATAGTGTCCTCAAGCATGAAGAGCTCTTGTGTGATTGTAAGTGAAGTGGTGTGCTGCCGTATTCTGTGCACAGGCTGATGCAGGTCGGGGAGCAGTTCTGTGACAGTAAATCAGAGGTGCTCCAAGAGTCCATCAAACGGCAGAGTGTCAACTACTTCAAGCACTACCACAGGTGACCATGCACCAACACCAATCAGGGCATCAACAAGCACAACAGGAAACCAGAGACTTGTTTGAGTCCAAATGAAATAGATTCAAAAAGCACCTTTCCCAGTCCATGGTCTGCCACATTTAATTCAATTCAAATTTCATTATTTGTATTTAGCCCGACATCACAACAATAGTTGTCTTAGATGACTTTTTAAAGTTCTTTGTTCCTCAACAAAAAAGTTCAGAAATTTAAACCGTTCCAAAACAAGAAATACAATAATAACAAACACATATCAACATTGGTCCATAGGGAGCGGGTGACCAATGTCTATAAAGGTTATTAATTAACCCATTGAGGCCGGGAAAGCATTCCCGCATTTCTACCTTTCGAGCCAGGAGCGCTGTTGCGCACTTCTACCTTTAAGGTCGGGAAAGCGGACACGTCTGTTTATAATTTTTGACCTATTCTTTTCAGTGATCAATTCTCTTGACCAATGCAATGCATCAGGATTTACCAGGGATGAGAATTTTCTGCGGATCCGCGTATGCCGATGTTTTCCTGCTGAAAATATAATTTCTGTGAAATATGTGGCCGCGGCTGTTTGCGTTACGTACTCGAACGGGCTTGATATCCTCCGTTCTGACCTCAGAAGCCGCTTTGTACCGACAGCCGCTCCAACCAGTATATGCCGTCAGCCCCTCCGACTACCATCAACCATTCTCACACACACCAGACTCATTCTACGCAATGTGGGTAAAGTGTCTTGCCTAAGGACACAACAGCAATTTGGCACTTTACCACTCTGTGGTGGGCTCAAACCCACGTCCTTCAGGCTCAAAGGGCCACATTCTTTGGGTGAAAGTTGTATATTTTTTGTATTTTTCTACTGAAGGTTTATAATAATACTCTGCATTCTTATTGACAACCACATTTGTCAGCTCTCAAATTATTTTGAAATTATGTTTCTATCTGCTACAGAGGCCGAGATATCAATCGTTCTGTAGACATTGAATTTCAGGAAACTTCAGGTTTTATAGGGTGGTTCTAAAGTCGACTATAGGTTTTACAGGTCTGTTTTACAAGGTGTGTCAGGCCTTAAGGTTAAATAACATCAATGTCCCGTAATCACCGTGCTTAGAGACTTCTGCATCGGCAAGGAATAACAACAGCAACAAAAATCAGCGGGGGAAAAAGTGGAAACCCCGGGGAGGCCCACATTGACAGAGGGATCCTCTCCCATGGACAGACAGGCTGTAGAACGAGATGGGACCAAAGCCAAGTCAACATGTGACTTGCACATGTGACTACACCAAGCCTCCGTGATCCAAGATGGCGCCCAATTCAAATGAATGGGTTCTGTCACCCGGTTCTGCGGAGTGGAGGAGCTTCGATGATGCGTTGCGCTAATTATGTGTGTGTGGCTCTCATGCCTGTGCAGGCGCTTTGACCAATCAGAGCTGCTGATCAGAGCTGCGGTAGAGCATAGTCAGAGCAGGGAAAAAACGAGTAGAGTTTGTGGCAGTAAACTGTAGATTTAAAGAAAACCGAAGAAATTAAGAAGAAAAAAAGTTGGGACTCTAAAATCTCCACAAAATACAACCTTTATGAAAGCTGTAGGTTTCTGTAAGCCAAGGTCTAGCTGTTTTAGTTTACATTGAGTTCTATGGGACTTTTTTCTGGGTAGCCCACGTGAATTTAGTCTGCAGTGCCACGGGCGCCGCCTGTGCCGATAAGTGGAACAGCTATACCCTAGTAATACCCTATCCAGTTATCATTATTATAAAAAAATTAATTAAAAAAACATAGGTTTTATATAGCGCTTTTTTGGACACTCAAAGACGCTCTACATGTCATTATTCTTTCACTCCATACACGGTGGTGATAAACTACTACTGTAGCCACAGCTGCCCTGGGTCACACTGACAGAAGCGAGGCAACCAGTATGTGCCTTCGGCCCCTCCGACCACCACCAACCATTCACACACACCAGACTCATTCTAGGCAATGGGGATGAAGTGTCTTGCCTAAGGACACAACGGCAGTTTGGCACTTTACAGCCGCAGCCGCCCCCAGAGGTTAAGTGTCTTGCCAAGGACACAACGACAGCAGACACCCTCGAACCCACGACTCAAAAAGGCCAATGCTCTACCAACTGAGCTAGTGTCGCCCTATGGATCATTCAAGCACACTCAACTCGATAGATTCATGGACTACACTCACACCCGGACCAGACACGTGGAGCCATTCAAAGTCAGTGTTTACGTGGCAAATGGTAGTGTAGGGGGAAAAATCGATTCTGTTCAGTATCACAATATTTTGCACGTACAATTAAATTGGTACAGTAGGGCAAAGTAGTGTGATATTTCATGAAATATTTGCTTCATTTACCAAATATTTTTTTCACTGAGTTTACTCTAAGGTTAATGTTGTGTTAGAATAATTCAAGTTTTGAGCTGGGAGCTCACCATTCATGTGAGAGGTCGCCTATTCAGAGAATAATGCTGTTATCCTGTAATGTCCTGTGACCTGAATGCTCAAGGATAAAGTTTTTGCGTTACGCTCCTACGTTTTTACACTTCAGTTAATGTGTGGACCATAATAAATGTCAGAAAGGGCATTCAATTGTGTGTAGAGTTGTGTGAGAGACAAATGCCCAAAATAATTGTAAAGCGCTTTGTGACTCTGGTCTGTGAAAGGCACTTTATAAATAAAGATTACTAACTTATTTACTTACTTAGAATTCTAAAAATGTAGTCACAATACACATATGTTTCCGTCTTGCTGGTATTCTCACACTTTTTTCCTGGTACAGCATACCCCAAATATGTTTTTCCAGCTTTCTGAAGCTGTTAGCCTTCTGTTTTTTTATAACAAAAGGTTTTGGAGCAATCAGCAATTACAGCCTCTGTGCCCTTGTGGAAATGCCTGTTATATACATTGACCTGAAAAAGTACTCTATTACAGACCAGACCCTCTTGCATCAGCAAAGAAAAACTCTAAACCCAGTCTAAACCTCGGGATAGGGCCACATTTAGAGAGGGATATTGATCCAGGGGAGGGGGTGTATCCAGCTGCGATAATCCTGACACAATTTTTATAAAGTCCAATTCTCTTCAATAGAATCTGAAGGCGTGAATCCTTTACAAATCAGTGACCTCATTTCTGGAGTTAAATCAGTCCAATTATCACTTTCAGACAAAGATGGTTTTGTAGATTATTATAATCTGTATTGTATATGTAGCATATACAATACAGATTAGATATGAAATATGCAAATTGTCAAGAATAACATAAAGAAAACGCTGATTGTAAGACACATGGTTAAAATGCTATGGCTAAGATGAGATTAGACTAAATCAAGGCCAAAATGTCCATGAATGGATTGGTAGGCCGAGGCTTGCATATCTGTGCAGCCTTTGTAAGAGGCGAAGTGGTCTTAGCTAGAATGATAGCTTTTCGTAAGCCAACAACTGTGTGGAGCAGAGCATATAATACAACCAGAAAGTACGTTGGTCGACGGCGGTCCTTGACAATGGATGGAGACCATCGTGCAGCTGTGTCATGTGGTCAGCGATCCACCATATCCATGTTGAAGCTTGGAGGCCCCCCCCGACCCAGAAATGGATTAAGGGGAAGAAAATGGATGGATGGATGGATGTGTATATATATATATATATATATATATATATATATATATATATATATATATATATATATATATAACCTGTGCGTAACCTGTGCACGCAAATACACCGCTGAAGCTGAACTATGGAGCCATAGGAAGAATCCTTGTCTCCTCCTGAAATGCAACTTAACTTGCTAAATTAAAGCTAGGGTACGTACATTTTTGCTTTCATTGACAGCTCATTTTGGTTGTTCCCAAAAGTAAAAGGTTGTGAGCAAATCAGATTTACATTTGGTATGAATGACAATGTGCCATTACATTTGATAATCTCATTTAACTTCAAATAGAGTGGATTTGAAATAGAATGTTAAAAATGTAATGGTGAGTTAACTCCCCATTACTATGCGATTAAGCAACAAAATAATGTTAATTGTTTGACAGCCCTAATATATTTACAGTATAGCCACCTTTTCCTCTGATTACTGCTTCGCACACTCTTGGCATTCTCTTGATGAACTTCCATCTCGATTGGGTTCAGGTCCGGTGAATATGGAAGCCCAGCACCCCACCACTCTCCTTATTGGTCAAACAGCCCTTACACATCCTGGGTGTGAATCTACAGTCAATTGTCATGAAAAGAAAGGAAACTCATTGAATAAGAAAGTGTGTCCAAAATGTTAATCTGTACTGTACAGATCAAAAGTTTGGACACACTGACCTGGCCTCCACAGTCACCGAACCTGAACCCCAATTGAGATGGTTTTGGGGTGAGCTGGACCACAGAGTGAAGGCGAAAGGGCCAACAAGTGCTGAGCATCTCTGGGAACTCCTTCAAGACTGTTGGAAGACCATTTCAGGTCGCTACCTCTTGAAGCTCATCAAGAGAATGCCAAGAGTGTGCAAAGAAGTAATCAGAGCAAAAGGTGGCTAACCTAGAATATAAGACATAGTTTCAGAACAAAATATAAATAATACTTCCTTTAGTATTTATTACTAACCCTTTATCTTCTAGACTAAAGGGCAAATAATTGTGCAGAAAAGTCAGATTGTAGTAGTAAAGAGTCTTGTTTAAAGGACCCATATTACACTTGCGAAACGCCCGGTTCCATATACTCTTCATATGTGACGATTTCAACATTGATGACGAATATGACGCACAGAAGCTTGTTTTTTATTTATTTAAAATGGTTCTTAAATACTGTCGTCAAAACAGGAAAAACAATACAGATAAAAATGTGAAGACGTTTTTGAGAGGTAAGAAGATGCTAAATGTTAGCATTGAATAATTCTCATTCCGGATCCACCCCCATCGGCCCGGGGTGGTATTGCAAGAATGTCAGCGCACATCATTTTGGCCACTTTTGAGCCGGGACCTGCCCCCAATGGACATTACTATGTACCGGGGATATGCAACTTGCAGCGTGAGGCTATGTCACTGTGCGGGCAGGGGGAGGTGGGCTCACAGGGAGAGGAGCAGACTCCTCTCTGGATCAGCCGGTTTGAGTTGAGGTGACATCACCTCTATGCCAGCCATTCCCAAGCTCAGTAACACCGAGGCCCCCTTAAAAATCTGACGGGTCTGCGTGGCCCCCCAAAATAATAACCAAGAAGACAATAGTGATGTGCGATTCGTGAACGAATCGTTCAAAACTCGAGATTCACTTTACTGACTCGGGAGTCGTGATTCCCCGCCTCCATTAACTCGTTCACTAACTCGTCCGCCCACCACTTTCTAAACTGCGACCCCCAGACTGCGTTTTCTACTAGCCACAATGAATGACACTCTAATATTACGTGTGTGACTGTGTGTGTGTGTACTGTAGCACAGAAACCAAAAGCTTATTGTTTACAACCATCTACTTCACCGTAACGTCCTCCTTCCTGCCTGCCCGCGCCTGCTAGTACGAGCCGTACGAGCAGTGAACGACTCACTGTGGTTCTGGATCAGCCCCTTCCCGCTCCCCTTCGAGTCGTTCAGCTCTGAACGAATCGTTCATCTGATCTGACTCACTCACTCAGCATCAAGCGAGTCAAAACAACAGGACAGGACACCGACTCGTCTCGTAACTCTCGTTCTCTAACTGGGTTGAAAAAAGTAGTTTCTTTTGCCCCATCTGACAAAAAATAATAACCCTCTACATGTATTATGTGAGGTAGATTGAAAAATATAATTGGCTATTTATTAAGTTATTTGTTCAGCTGTGTTTCTCTCGTCGGACAACAGGAGTTCCGCCTCGAACATTATTGGCGTTACAATGATTGTCATCAATAAAAAATGAATGTGTGAAAAATATCAAAGTTGTTTGTATTTATTATTTATATAATGTAATTGTTATGACCTTTTTTTTTTACCAGGAATGTAGGTTTTAACACGGAATACATTTATGTAACACCACATTTTTGGCGGAAAGTTTTAAATATTTTTATAGAAAATGGATAGTAGCCGCAGAAGAAGCGATATTTGGATGCACTTTGAAATAACAGGCCCATCACGAGCAAAATGTCAACTCTGCAAGGTTGTTTAAGGTTTTGTTCACAATTTTACTGTTGAATTGTTAAATTTAAAGAGTTTATATTTTGTCAAATTAGTTTACATATTTGTTATTGTTACCATTTATCAAATTTTAATAAATGTTTTGATTGTAAATTGCCATTTTAGCATTATTTTGTGTTCATGTATGTTTTTTTCTGAACAACTGAATCACTGAATCAAATGACTCAAAACACCCGATTCACTTTGGTGAGTGATTCACTTTAACTCGAGTCAGTAAAATGAATCGAACTTTACATCACTAGAAGACAACATTAAGAATAGGCTCTTCTGGTTATTTTATTTTGGGGAAATAGCCTCTGCTACAAACATTGTAATACAAAAATGATTACAGTGGATTATTCAAGTCAAATAATGAACACAAATATTTTAATATTACAAACAAAACATTATAAATTTAACATTAAATAATTATATTATTTTTTTATTTTTTCTTATGACCTCCCGCGGCTCCCCTGCAGTACCCTCCAGGGCCCACCAGGGGGCCGCGGACCCCACTTTGGGAGACACTGCTCTATGCAATAGATGGCTATAATCTCACAAGTTTTGTATGTTGTATGGTGTATCACTCAAATTATTATCACACATGTGCATAGGATGGACCGTGAAACATGAAGAAAAGGGAATTGTGGAACCTTTAATTCCAAATATACGGTTATTTTGAAGTTGTTGGTGCGTTTTTTCTGTTGGTAATTTAAGCACAGCACAAATGTCCTTCAGGGACGGTGAATTGAAAGCTGATTGTCGTCTGATTGTCTGGTCACAGGGCACGTCTGGAAGAGCTGAGGATGTTCCTGGAAAATGAGACGTGGGAATTGTGTCCGGTCAAATCCAACTTCAACATTTCCCAGCTACATGTGAGTCACCCACACAATTTTCAGACACATATGTACCTACGACTGAATTCATGGCTGAAAATACAGTGGGGCAAAAATGTATTTAGTCAGCCACCGATTGTGCAAGTTCTTCCACTTAAAATAATGACAGAGGTCTGTAATTTCCATCATAGGTACACTTCAACTGTGAGACATTGTAGGATTTTTAAAGAATTTATTTGTAAATGATGGTGGACAATAAGTATTTGGTCACTTCAAACAAGGAAGATCTCTGGCTCTCACAGGCCTGTAACTTCTTCTTTAAGAAGCTCTTCTGTCCTCCACTCGTTACCTGTATTAATGGGACCTGTTTGAACTCCTTATCTGTATAAAAGACACCTGTCCACAGCCTCAAACAGTCAGACTCCAAACTCCACCATGGCTAAGACCAAAGAGCTGTAGAAGGACACCAGGAAAAGAATTGTAGACCTGCACCAGACTGGGAAGAGTGAATCTACAATAGGCAAGCAGCTTGGTGTGAACAAATCAACTGTGGGAGCAATTATCAGAAAATGGAAGAAATACAAGACCACTGATAATCTCCCTCGATCTGGGGCTCCACACAAAATCTCATCCCGTGGGGTCAAAATGATCATGAGAACGGTGATCAAAAATCCCAGAACCACACGGAGGGACCTGGTGAATGACCTGCAGAGAGCTGGGACCAAAGTAACAAAGGTTACCATCAGTAACACACTACGACGACAGGGAATCACATCCTGCAGTGCCAGACGTGTCCCCCTGCTGAAGCCAGTGCATGTCCAGGCCCGTCTGAAGTTTTCCAGCGAGCACATGGATGATACAGCAGAGGATTGGGAGAATGTCATGTGGTCAGATGAAACCAAAGTAGAACTGTTTGGTATAAACTCAACTCGTCGTGTTTGGAGGAAGAAGAATACTGAGTTGCATCCCAAGAACACCATACCTACTGTGAAGCATGGGGGTGGAAACGTCATGCTTTGGGGCTGTTTTTCTGCTAAGGGGACAGGACAACTGATCCGTGTTAAGGAAAGAATGAATGGGGCCATGTATCGTGAGATTTTGAGCCAAAACCTCCTTCCAACAGTGAGAGCTTTGAATATGAAACGTGGCTGGGTCTTCCAGCATGACAATGATCCCAAACACATTGCCCGGGTAGCGAAGGAGTGGCTCCGTAAGAAGCATTTGAAAGTCCTGGAGTGGCCTAGCCAGTCTCCAGACCTCAACCCCATTGAAAATCTGTGGAGGGAGTTGAAAGTCCGTGTTGCTCGGCGACATTGAATTTTTGTCATTGACCAAATACTTATTTTCCACCATAATTTACAAATCAATTCTTTAAAAATCCTACACTGTGAATTCCTGGATTTTTATTTCACATTGTGTACCTATGATGAAAATTACAGACCTCTGTCATTATTTTAAGTGGGAGAACTTGCACAATCGGTGGCTGACTAAGTACTTTTTTGCCCCACTGTATGTACAGTAGACTATCTGTGTCTTTACAAACTTACAAACTTTGTATGTACATAGATAAGTTTTGCTCCCACTGATGAGTATTCCAGGCATGACATCCCAACATTGTATTGATCAGAAAGCCCCATCTATAACATTTATCATGCTCAGTGCAATACTGTAATCTACGCAGTCAATAGAAGAGCAGAGTGCTTTAAATTCACTGTGCATCGAAAAGACTGATGCACCGGCTTTAGAATGATAAATGGAGCTAATTTGAACACAATCTATTTTTCATCTAGTTTTTCTCATGCTTGGATAGAGCTCAAAAGTTCATTTGCCAATCAAATGTATGAACCAAACAAAACAAAAAACATAAACATAGTTCCATTGTTTACAAATGGAAACAATAATTGTTTTTTCCAGGCAATCTTTTACCGGATTTATATAACTTCCCACACATTATATCTGTGACAAACCAGAATTATGTTTTATATATTTGAAATATTTGTCTTTTGCTTTCTATCCTACACTTACCCTAACCCTGCCGCTATGTGTTCACAGGAGTTTAAGTTCCTGTCCCAGTGCCGCTCTCCCTCTGTGTCCCCCAGCAAACAGAGCTCATCGGGGGTGGTACCAGGAGGGGGAGGGCTGTTCCAGCTCTACCTCCAGGAAGGAAACCCATTTGAGATGCACTTGGAGCAGAAGGAGGAGGAGAGCGAGGACGTGCTGGCATCTAACGGGGTGTGTTGGCACCAAACATGCACATCATACTCAATGCAATTTCAAATCACAGCAGCAGTCCTCTGAGAGGACTTTACAAAGTTGTCAATTCGCCAACAACAGATCAGAGAATAAAACCAATGGAAGACAAGACTATCCAATAAAAAGAACACATTGAAGTCATTGGTCCGTAGTGTAGCTGGATGACCAATGTCATCCCGCGGTCAGACAGGCTGTATATTCAGGACTAAGACTTATTTATCCTCTAAATAAATAAATAAATAAAAGACGGGGAGGGGATTGCAGCCTACAGGTCTGAACTGGAAAAGACCAGATCACAGGTGTATTTAAAAGAAGCCTGATTTAGGGGTTCCCTCATTATATCATGAAACAATCACTGAGATAGGGGGTGAATAGCAATGAACAGACTACAGCTGAATTTATAATGATTATTGATAAAATCGGTAAATAAAATAAACTTGGTGAACTGTGATAGTTGCGTGTCCAAATGGCTGTCCTTCTGTGAAGCGGCTTTTATCACAAGACCAAGCGATATGGTATATGTACTGTGTACACCACCACTGTATATAGCTATAGGTATGACAGCTATGCCTCCGTATGAAAGATGGGGCTGTTGAGACACCACCACAATGAATTGTTCTATTTCAATGTGTTACTTTACTTCACATTTTTTGTTAATAAACGCATGTACATACTCATCTCCAGGATATACAAATCTATACAAATGACAATCTATCCAAAAATGTGGCAGTAAAGAAGACAGCCGTGGTACTCTGTATGTTTTTATAGCAGTCCTTAATTCTAAATTTTGGAATATAGATGATCAATGTAAATAAAACTGGATGGAAATTAAGGAAGGCCATTGTTACCAAACATGTCTCCAAGGAACGGCTTCCTCACTCACACCAATCCATACACAAAGAGTCAGAACTACTGAAAATAGTAAATTGAAGATTCAATTGAATATTGTCAGTCCAGTTGCTAATGGATTAAAGTAACGTTTACTTGAATCCATTAGCCTAACGAAGACAACATGTCACATGTGCTTTGGTCATCCTTGTTTGTCTGAGAACTGTCTATCGTTGCTGTCTTTCCCAGGCAGTTTACCATATTAGAATTTTGTTATGACCAAACCGTTTTCTATCAATCAATTGTTGATTATAATGATGAGACATATGAGTTCAAACCCAGACTCAAAAAGTGCTCTTCCTTCAGCTGTTGTGACAGGCATTGTCTTTCCAATACTTCTATCATCCACCATAGTCGTTTGGTATTCTAGCTTTTTGGTGTTGTTGACATTCTTAATCCTGAAGGTAGCTGAACATAGTTTGGCCACACCTAATGCATGAGCGAGTTTTCATTATCAGCCTAATAATGGCTTGCTTCACTGATCTCATGTTAAAAATGAACAGGCACTGGTGTGCGTTACTTCCTAATTATCCCATGTGCATGTGCAGATAACACATCACGCATAGGAACATCTTAAGAGCCAATTTCCCTCCAAAAGAGAAAACCACACCCACGGCGGTTACCTGTTGTGGTGTATCAACCTAATAATATTATAGTGCTTATGTCTTATTAATAATGGACCTGACTGTATATTTTGGATCCGTCGTATATATAAGTTGAAACACCACTATTATTGTAATCTGCTGGTATAACTTTAGTTATCTAGATACTGTGCTCTCTGGGGTGGTGGAAGTGGTGATGGTGGTGTCAGTACTTGGTCTATATATCATAATGCACAAACCACACCACGGCAGTTACTTTCTCAAATGAGTCGACTTACATTTTGTTCCAACTAAATTTCTGAATGACTGCATAAAGAGTCAAATGAGGTCCCTGTAAGTACATGGTGTCATGTGGACGGTTGTTGCTGCAGTACGAGTCGGACGAGCTGGAGAAGAATGTGTACCAGGAGTACGACAGTGACAGTGACGTCCCAGATGAGCTGAAGCAGGACTATGTGGACGAGAAGACTGGAGACGTCCCACTAAAGAGGTACCCAGCACATGCTTTCCTGCAGCTTAATACACCAAAAAAATATGTACAATAGATCAAGATAAATGAGTCTGTGTTTGTGTGTGTGTTTGTGTGACTGTGGGATGGAAAATGAACCCATGTTACAATAAGGTGTATTTACAACACTGCAATATAGGTGTGCCTGTCTTTTGGTACCGCAGAAGTTTGATGTGACTGTGGTACTTGACGTGACATGCAATATAGTGGTGACATCAGACTGCTCTGTGTGAGAATGTTAATGGTGCATTAGAGCGGTCACACGGACTCTGACATGCCCGCCCTGAGTGGCTCCTGACGCACTCTCTTCATGTGTCCAACTGCAGGATTAGTCTTGTTAATGCAGATTAGGGACCAGACCCTTATCTCATGCGTGTGACCTCTGCCCTCTGCACAGCGTCTCCCGGGAAACCATCCGGAGCCGGAAGAGGTCTGACTACAACCTGAACAAGGCTAAAGTGCCCATCCTGACCAACACCACGCTCAACGTCATCCGCCTACTGGGTGAGTCCACAAAGCACATTGCACACTGCTTACCACACACACACAGCATCTCGCACACAGCACCACTCACACAGCATCTCACACACAGCACCACTCACACAGCATCGCGCACACAGCACTGCACATGGCGCACACACAGAGCTGCACACACAGCGCCGCACACACAGCGCCGACACACAGCGCCGCACACACAGCGCCGCACACACAGTACTGCACACACAGTACTGCACACACAGTACTGCACACACAGCACCGCCCACACTGCACACCCTACTGAATTGTGCATCCCTCAGGAAATATTTTATGCTCATGATATAGAAATGAGTGTAGAGAACATGAGCAGACCTGGTCGGGCAGCAGGCTACAGCCCATGCAGATAAGAACATCTACCCTTTTCAGTAATCGAACTCTTTCTCTCTGTTTCTCTTGGAGCGATTTCCCTTCATCACTACGAGTCTTTTGTACTGATATAAAAATTAAGTTTATATTTAAAGCACACATATTATGCAAAATCATTGTTGGTGTGTGTGTGTGTGTGTGTGTACGTGTGCCTGTGTGTGCCTGTATGTGCCTGTATGCTTGTGTGTGTCCACAGGGCGGTACATGCAGATGATGAACATCCTGAAACCCATTGCCTTTGACGTGATCCACTGTGTGTCGCAGCTCTTTGACTACTACCTGTACGCTGTCTACACTTTCTTCGGCCGCAACCACACGGTAATACAACGGTAGCGTCAAAGCATCACCAGCACAGCTCTATTAAACCACGGCAACACATAGACTCCAATGCATGAAGGACAGATAACTGTGGAACACATGGAATTGGGCAAATAGATATTGATATATTAGTATTAAAGTGAATATTTTAAATGTTAAAATCTTTCCCTATTTCATTTTTTATGTTACATTTACGTTTTGAGTCAATAGGATTGGCTAATCAAAATGAATATAAACGCTACCTCTGATCGTCCTCAAAAAGTTCCTCTAAAGTTTTGGGCCTATGATTTGTCAGGACTACAGGAGCTGGAGGATTTACCTATTCGGAGCACCTTGAAGAAACCTACACAGGGAGAACATGCAAACTCCATTAGCTGCCCCTTTTACTTTACCTAATAAAACTCCACTCAGAAGGGTCCTGTTCCTGCACGTGGCAGATAGAGGACTGTTTCATCAGTGGATTGCAAAGTTTGCCACATTACTTAAACATTCTTCTTTAATCAAAGTGGTAAACCATTAGACATTTCTTCATTTAGCTTTACAAGTGCTCATATTTGTGCTTGAGAACGTTCACAAAAAGCATTCATAACAGAGCGGCGCAGAAAACCCATTATATATCAGATACATTGCAATTAGATTCTTTTCACAAATGGCTCACCTCATTTTGCCTGTGCGTCTCCTCTGTAATAACTCTCTATCGGCCTCAACATCATTACAGCTCTCACTCCAACTCCTGCTCGGGAAAATGCTAATATTTCCCCCTGTCTGGAAATGCTAATGTTCCTTGTGAATGTTTAAAAGGGTTCATATGGTGGCAGGTCGCCTGGGGCACTGCTCTCTGTACCCTCTTTTCATTGAGATTGAGAATTTTGACTTTCCCGTCACATTAATATTCTAAAGGTAAACAGTAGCAAATTTAGATGAGCTGCAGCAGGATAGTGTCCTCACACTATCACGACCTGAAACACCAACTCACTCTGTGCTCAAGACAAATGCCATCAGGCTACCTTTCCCATTTCATCTGACACATTTGGATTTTCATTGACACAAACTGTAAACCCCATATACATGTTTATTTTTAGCCTTTTAGTTAACAATATATTACCTGGGAGTCAAACCAGGGTCTTCTGGCTGTGAGGCATGAGTGCTGAACACTGCATTTAGTGGGTGTTTACATCTAGTTCAGGCTTTGATCCAACCCAAACCACCAGACGGACCTTCTGCCCTAACCCAGCTGACCCCTCAAGAGCAGGGGTAGGGGCAGGGCAGGGGCAGGGCAGAGGCGAGGCAGGGCAGAGGCAGGGTAGAGGCAGAGGCAGGGCAAAGGCAAGGCAAAGGTAGGGCAGTAGGGCAGAGGCGATGATACTAGCTAATACTAGCTCGGAATTATACAGGGAGTAGGGTCAGTCTGCCTTGTTTCCATCAGTGACAGCAGAAATATATGCTCCAAAAGAGGGCAAAAAAGCCTGTTTTTAACCGCTCCCAGTTCACCATGTTGCTGCTTCCCGTAACGTTTCTGTCTGAATTAGAAGTCCACATCTTAATATTGCAGAACACAAGCCTAACCTTTTGGAAAAATCAATTCCTCTGTGTTCCCCTGGAAGGCTGACAAATGTGTCTGTTTAGCAGGCTTCTGTGTCCTCTGACTAAAGTAGCTTTGCGCTCGGTGGCTGAGTGGATAGCACTCTCGCCGGGGGCGACACGGTGGCTGAGTGGATAGCACTCTCGCCTCTCAGCAAGAAGGTCCTGGGTTCGAATCCCGGTCGGACCAGGGCCTTTCTGAGTGGAGTTTGCATGTTCTCCCCGTGTCTGCGTAGGTTTCCTCCGGGTACTCCGGTTTCCCCTACCGCTAAAAATATGTAAAATAGTTCTAGCATGTGCCTCCTGTACTGGCCCCGCTCCCATCTCTGTGTGGAGTGAGAGACAAGTGCCCAAAAAAATAACAATTGTAAACCGCTTTGAGACTCAGATCTGCAGTGAAAAGGCGGTATATAAATAATTACTTACTTACTTACTTACTTACTTACTCTTGTTGTCCGCCTGATGGACATACACCTTAGTAAAGGAGCTAAGTTAATGTAGTCTTTTTTTTTTTGAGAGACTACTGTCTACTGAAATCTCCCCATTGTGGGATGAATAAATTAATGATAAATCAAATAAGTGTCTCTTAATCTTAATCTTAATCTTGTTTTGGGGAGTATTTGACTCTGAACATATAATGACTGGACCTGTGTGTGCGCAGTACGAGGCGTCCGGGCTCGGCCTGATCAGCAGCAGACTTCGCAGCACGTTGAACCGGATCCAGGAAAGCCTCATTGATATGGTGAGTGTGTTCTGTCACATTTTCTGTCATTTTATGTTGTTTTCCCTGGCCCTGACCATCTGAGTGCATATGTGTCTGCCCCTCTACGGCCCCCGCTGGCCTGTGTACGGCTGCTGGATCCATTACTAGACCATTACCATGAGCTCAGATTAGAGCGGACACTCCATTAGCCGCCCCAATTACCCCCCTCACTAATGCTTCAGGACAATTATCCTGCTACTGTGGAGCAGGTTCGGAGCACCTGGAAAACTGGGCAGACCTGGTAAACCTGGTCTTGCCACACCATTGTACGCATTTCATTTTGTACTAAGGTCTGGATTTACTCCATTGATCTCTGTAAACAGGTGTGAGCGGTTAACTCTTCTTGCAGATTGAAACGATTGAATCTGATATTACAATGATGTATATAATGTGTCTGGCATTCTGACCAGAATTGTGAGGATATCAGAATACTGCATCTGATGGGAGAAGTGTGGACTCTGTGGGAGCTGTGCTGGAGAGAAGGATGAGAGCGTCTCATCCTTCTCTCCAGCATCCTGGGTAACTCCAGACACCCTCTGCCTGACACTAAGCATGACACCCTCTGCATGACACTATGGCCTCTCAAAGGAGTAATCGAAGCAACAGGCTCATATCGCTATGCTGCCGAACGGAACGTTTCAAGAGATCCTTTGTTCCTTCGGCTGTCAGGCTGTACAACAATCCTTTATTAGTCTTCTGCTGCTGGTCACCTGAATTTCTCCTATGGGGGATCAATAAAGTATTTATCTATGGTTGCAAATCCACTGCTGACAGCCTGAAGTAGAAGGCAGAGATGGCCGCAGGAGCTCTGCTTCCTTCCTGCTTAGCTCTGCCAGGTCTCTGTTACAACAGTGTCCACTTTCCCTACCACCATTGTTTTAGCTAGTAGTAGCTGTGAGCAGCTACTACTGCTCACAGTGCTGTCACATGTTCCTGTTGAGGCAGGCAGCAATAGCGAACTGTTGCAGTACAATACAGTATTGTAACCACATGGTGAGGGCTGTAGGATTTTAGATAACAAGATATTGCTGTGAATAAATTGTTAATTTTTGCACCTTTAGTTAGCTAACTCTTTTAGTTTTTGAGTGAGATGTAGTGGTGTGCCTGTATGCAGACGCTGCACTCCTCTGGGGCTGCTGCACAGACCTCATTAGGAAACGCATTACAAAGTTAATTGCATGTTGAATTTCATTGGAGTGTTGAATCCTGGCGGTTTTGTTTTCTGCTTTCGCACTGCTGTGGTTTGAGGCAAACAGAGTAAACTGATGAAGTGGTAGTCCCGTGTGACTGCAAAGGAGATCAGCTGCTGTCATCTCTTCTATATCTGTGATTATCTTCCCAAAACCTCCTGGCACTTTTCATTACAGCACCCACAAACATCATTTATAGAAATGACCCTTCTTCAGAAGGGCTGTCAAAAACATTATAAAAATGATATTACTGTTTTAAAACAAGTTTGACATATTTATAATTATGGGGTAAATTTCTCTGCTACCCGTGTTACAACATTGTTCCCACATCAATAATAGAACTAGAGTTGACTGTAGGTCAGGCATGGGAAAACTTCTCATCATCTGGAAAGTTGATGTGGTCTTCCTACCATCGAATCATAACTGAACACTAAACTTCTGCTCCATCTTTCCATAGCTTTTTTTGCTATCCTGACTATAGACAAATACTTGGACTATGCTACAGACATATGTACACGGAGATGATCACAATACCCCTCTGTCGGCAGGATACCAGTGACACAAGGAAGTACAAAACAATAAAATGATTGATTATTAAGGCCTGTTACAGCATTTTTCTTCACCAATCACGGATCTGGAGTTGTGTTCATCTTCTACCACAAACCTGTTCCCCGCTCCTCCAGTTTAAAAGCAGTTTTAAAACATGTTAGGTCAGATTATGACAAATCTGACATAAAATGAATCTTGACCCATGGCACCATGAGTGATGGAGCTGCTTAAGAAGCTCCCTACGGTCGTCTTTAGAAGTCAGAGATGCACATAAATGTCTGATTTGCAAGTCTTGGTCAAGTCCATATTTCTAAGTCTCAGTTTTTTCAGTTTTATACAGATTAAAATTAGGGCACAATACAACTCAAATGAAAATCAGAAAAATACCGTGCTGCCAATAAGTGAGTTGTGCCACATTTGATCACAATGGGTTACCAACATGAGAAGAGAAAAATGAGACACTGTTGGTAAAATTTTAAGTGATCAAAAACCCATTTCTGTTTTGACAAATTGAGTGTGTTTAAGGTGAGCATGTATTTCAATCATAATCATATAGGCTTCACATAACACTAAAAGACACTGATCTTCCTGTATGCTTTAAATGAGACTGATCACATCTTTTGCCAGAGTTAAACATGAAGGGTTAGAAGTGCAGGCTGCAGGTGGAGAACCTCTGCTCCATTGAGACCACACATTCTCTCCTTGTTCTGCTCGTACAAAGATCAGCAATTGCAGCAAGCCTTCCACGCAGTGGCCATGTTCTGGCCACGCTACGGCTGCTTGCTTGCCGCAATATTGTCACAGGAGCAATGCATGGCCTCGCTGTTCTGGGAAATGTGTTCTAAGACCCATTTTTCCGCTTCAGAATACACCTAGGGCCCTTTCGCCTGTCGGCAATCTTGCTGGATGTTGCTTGGATGCACATGAGGGAGAGACGGGAGGAAGCAATGCCATAGGGAAGCAATGCTCGTCGAAAGTCTCTAAAAATTGTGACTTGCCTCTGACTTAAGTACGACTTGCGAATGGTCAAATTTCAACTTTGCAGAGACAGGGATTCTGGCTCTTCTCAACTTGTGGAGAAAGTACACACTGACTACTCTTCTTGACTAGTGTGCAGCGTCTTGGAGAACTTCTCGGTAAAAAGACCTTAGTGTTGGTCACCCTCTCCACAGCAGCACCATTGAATTAGAAGAGAATGCTGGACCCATGCTCTTCAAACGTCCAGCTGCCAAGCGTCGCTTTTTGATCCTCTTCCTATCACACTGTTGCTCCCACCACTGTTGTTGTCTACAAATTCGATGAAGAGGTTTGAGTGGTTTTTTGGAGTACACCCATTTGTCAGTGAAAAGGAGTGGCCTCAGTACACAGCCTTGGGGAGCTCAGTGTGATGCTTCTGGAGGTACTGCCTGTGGTCTTCCTGTGAAAGTTGAGTGATGTGTTGACTGCAGGTAGAGCAGTTTGTGTATTAGGTGCTGTGGTATTTTAGTGTTCACAGCTGAGACACAGATTTCCTGGGAGACGGCTATATAGCATCTCAGCTAATTAATTCTTCCATCTGAAATATAGAAATAACAATAATCAAATAGTAGAAAGCTCTGTAGATAAATGTACAATCATGAATTTTGTGCAAATAGTGTCATAATATATTCAGAGAAGACTGTAATAACTTTTTGAATTGATATTTGCTTAAATCCACACACCAAACAAAGACAAAAGGAACACCTCTTTTTTTTTTGTTCCTTTGTTTGCCTGCAAGCAAAAATTACTCAAAGCTGAATATGGAGTGTTTTAAACGGCTTAAATAGCCCAGCATCAACAGTAGAACAAAGAAACACACCAAAAGCAAATAAAATACACCATCACTCACACGTCTCTGCTAAAATGAGTGTGCTATTTGGCCAATCCCAGTATGTCTGATTAAAAACATTGCTCTTCAGTTAAACGTCAGTTCATTTGTCTCAAAATGAGAGCACCTTAGATGTATGCAAACTTCAGGGGGATGCCTAAGGACTCTACAACACTTTGGCAATTTACTGCACCACTGTGACACCTGGAGTTCCCAGAGCTCGCATCACAGTTGTAACCTAGCCATGCCCCGTTTAGCTTCTCCAACTTTAAGTTGGCTTCTAAGATGATTAAAAGTTTGTCTTTTTATGTTGAACTAGGGATGCACAGATTGGTGTCCGTGCATCTTTTTTTAATTGCTTCCCTATGGCATTGCTTCTTCCCGTCTCACCCTCATGTGCATCCAAGCAACATCCAACAAGATTGCCAACGGGGTATCTTTTTTAAAACCAATAAGAGTAAGAGTACCTTAATTTGAGTATAGGTTTACTTTTGAATGTGCTGGAAACGGCAGCAAGTCCTAAGTAGCTCTGAAACAGTTGTTGTTTTGAGTTATACAATTGTGATTTTCCTTGCCTTTTTCTACCTGAGATGTTTGCTGCTGTACAGTGTTCATGGTTCAGACCGGAGCAGAAGGGATTCATGGTCCGAACCAAGCAGAGGAGGCGAAAATCCACTGGAGGAATGGTAACTTCTTGAAAATGCTAATGAAGCATTCAGCCTTTTACTTTGGACTAGATCAGAGAAAATGGTCCAAACCAAGCAGCTAGAGCCCTGCACTTGAGCCCTAGGCCCGAGGTCCCCGACAGCCCGAGGACCGGGCTTCGGGTCGATGACCGTACCTCAGACACGGGCCGGGCTCGGGCACTTTTATTTATTCATTTTCAGTGCAGCAGATTACATTTACCAACGCACCCACTGAATATAGCGTTCTATTACGCTGTAGTATTTGTCATACTAACTCTTGTTAGGGTTGACTGCGGCAAAACTCCAGGAAAAAGACAAAAACAAGATAGTGCAAGCGGTCAGAGCAGGAGCGGTCTGAAGACACGTCTGTGGTTGAAGGAAGAGCAACAATCCAGAGAAATAACTCTGCAGTTAACAGTGAGGGTCATTGAATCGGGAGTTTAACCCATTATAGATGCATGGATAATATCCTGTACACAACACGTAGAAAGCGCATCCTTTCAGCCGTGGAAAGACAGCGTCTCTCAGCGTCATCGTCTGGTCAGAGTGGTTTGGAATGTCTCGATGGCTCATTTTCCTTTGATTTATTACAAGAACATATTGCTCACATTATTTGTCACCATGTCAAAATAAGAAGTCGTTTGATGTAGATGTTGTATATATATGTAAATGTAATTTAAAATAAATAAAAAGACAGCTCCCCCCTGTCTAGGGCAGTGATGTTTTGTGGATGTCACTGGGTAATACAGACCTGGGAGACTGGATCTCTGTAGACTGGCTAGGCCACTCCATGACCTTGAACTGCTTTTACCAAGCCTCTCCTGTGTTGCCCGGGCAGTGTATGGGATCATTGTCATGCTGAAAGATTCAGCCATGGTTCATCTTCAATGATGGAAGGAGGTTTTCACTCAAAATGTCTCAATTCATTGCCCCATTCATTCTTTCCATTACATGAATCAATCATTCTGACCCCCATGCTTCATGTAGGTATCTATCTTGGTTATTTTAACTTTTGAAACAGGAAATTCCACATAGATATTCTCAAGATGATGTTAAAGGAATAGTTCACCGTTTTTACATACTGACATATGTTCTTACCTTACCTTAGACTAGTTAATATGTACCTGTCTGGTCTTAGTCCGTGCGCTCTGTCATGCAAACAGAGCAAAAACGGGAGCACAAACGCAGCCTCCTCTGTATATTGTGTAGGACCAAAAGGTAGCTCCCGCTAGAAGCTACCAAACTCTTCCAAGTGTTTCCTATTAAATGTATATAGTTACGTGACGTGTTACACTGCAAAGTACAGTAACACAGAAATGTAACTGTCGATTTTCTCAGCGGATAAAACGGGTACTATATTGTGAGGCGTAGTAATCTGAGGAGCGCTACGTCCGCGCACTAACTTCTCTCCGGAGACTTCTCTCTCGCTCACTTCCGTCAATAGAAGCAGCGTGACTTGTAGTACACACAGTAGCAGCGAGAGAGAAGTCTCCGGAGAGAAGTTAGTGCGCGGACGTAGCGCTCCTCAGATTACTACGCCTCACAATATAGTACCCGTTTTATCCGCTGAGAAAATTGACAGTTACATTTCTGTGTTACTGTACTTTGCAGTGTAACACGTCACGTAACTATATACATTTAATAGGGAACACTTGGAAGAGTTTGGTAGCTTCTAGCGGGAGCTACCTTTTGGGTACTATACAGTATACAGAGGAGGCTGCGTTTGTGCTCCCGTTTTTGCTCCGTTTGCATGACAGAGCGCACGGACTAAGACCAGACAGGTACATATTAACTAGTCTAAGGTAAGGTAAGAACATATGTCAGTATGTAAAAACGGTGAACTATTCCTTTAAAGACCCAAAATGAACACAAAAAATGCATGATATTCGCTCTTCAGGATATGCCAGTGATTTGGCATACTAAGATGAATTCATCTGTTTGGATAGGAGAGTGCAGAGGGAGCTGCTGTCATCTCTGCGTCTGAGGAGCGGAAGGAGAAGGTGCCCAGTCCTCACCTGAGCCAGCACGTGGACCTCAGCTTGAGCAGCGGTCTCTTCGGCTTGGCCCAGCGAGTCGTGGCCACAGAGTCACTGTGAGTAACGCACCCTGATCCTCACATGGAACCATCTGAGATTACCCCGTTATGTGGCAAATCACAAGTTTTAAGATGAAGAGATCCTTTGTTTGTCCCATATTGGGGACATTGATCTGTGTTGTTGATCACAGGTTACATAACAGTGGGAATTGGTTGTGAATATTAAGAATCTCAAAATAACTAATAACTGTTTTAACGTGGTTTGTCTTTCCTTGCTGTTTTGTTCGTTCTATTTTCCATGCTGTTACAAGGGCCTGGTGATACCATACGTATCTCGATAGTATATACGCATTATATTATACGTTGATATAGGGGACTTTCCGTTCCCTATATCAAGTTTTGTTTTTAAATTACAAATATTTATATGTTTATGTAAAACTTTCATAAACGTCCGGGTGCAGACATATGCTTTTCTCTCCACTTCCCCTGATATGCGCATTTTCTCCATTTGCTACATGGAGAAAAAGTGCTGCTGACATGTCCTAGATCAGATGGTCTGCTTGTTATACCAGTTATAGCCTATTGTGATTTTCCCATTACTGTGCTTGATTATGGCGTCAAGAACCTTGTGTAATGACCAAAGACAGCAGTGTGCAGGAACAGGCTCTATCCAGCAGCTCAACACTCAGCTCTGTGATCAGTCTAATGGGGCTTGTTGCTTTGACTAACAAGACAAACAGGTCTTGTGGGTCCAAAGCCACTATCATTGTGCGCCAGGAGAAGAGTGCCTACAATGAGTCTAAAGGTGTGTCTGTAGCACATGGGTGTTGTCACATGTGGTGTGCTTAAGAGTCCTTCTGTAGCACCCTCGTCCGTGCGTGTTGTGCAATACCAGGTACACTTGGGCAGGCTTTGCACTTAATAAATTCCGGAAATGCCATTGCTTAATGATTTTGTGGAAAATGAAGCACACAGAGACAGATCGTGGCGCACCAGAGCTCCTGGAAGTTTATTAGGTTTCCTTCAGGTTTCAGTTGTTTCAGTTTTATCAGACAGAACAAAGTCAGGACATGGTTTATATAGTCATTGTTACATCACAGATACGTCACACACAGAAAGGCATACGTGTCGCATCAAGAGACAATCAGAACATAACATAGTCATAACATGGATACACAATCAGAGTCATTGTAGAGTCTTGTGTTTGTCTACCTGCGTAGGCCATAGCTATCTATCCCCGATGATTTTCTAATGAAATCTAACATTACTATAGACTTTGGCTGGCAGAAGTAGATCTTCCTGCATGTGTATTTAAATGCTTACAAATGTATGTCTATAAAGATCTGTGATGATCCCTGCTTTCAGAGTGTTCCTGGCCGAGCAATTTGAAGCTCTTCAGTCCCACCTGGACTCCATGATGCCCCCAGCCAAGAAGCCCTTCCTGCAACAGTTCTACTCCCAGGTGCCTCACTTACTCACATACTTATGCCCAGTAGTACAGAGCACATGGTTGAACTTAAACCTAAAGTCTACAGTCTGACAGTGGTGGGGATGAAGGCCCTGTGGTAGCGCTTCTTCCTGCACTGAGGGTGCCTCAGTCCACTGAAGGAGCTCCTCAGCTCCTCTACAGTCTACAGTGCCTCCTGTCCCTCACCTCCTTCACAGTGTCCAGGGAACAGCCCAGAGTGGAGCTGGCCCTCCTGACCAGTTCGTTCAGTTTACTTCTGTCCCACTCTGTGCTGCCCGGGGCCTGCACACGGCAGTGTACCGTATGGCAGAAGTTACCACAGAGTCATAAAGTCTTGAGCAGAGCCTCACTCTGAAGAACCGCAGCCTCCTCAGAAGGTGGAGGCAACTTTGGCCCTTCTTGTACAGGGCGTTTGTGATGTGGGACCAGTCCAGTTTATTGTTAATGTGAACACCCAGGTACTTGAAGCTGTCCACCAGCTCAATATCTTTCCTCCTGGATTTTCAGCAGCGTATGGGAAAATGGTTTTCTCCTGAAGTTACCATCTCCCTGGTCTTCCTGGTGTTCAAGCAGAAGTGGTTGCGCTCACACCAGTCGACAAAGTCCATGATAACCGACCGGTATTCCAGTTTGTTCCTCTCAGACACACAGCCGACAAAAGCGGAGTTGTCGACGATCTTCTGCAGGTGGCAGCTGTTGGGGTGTGTGTTGAATGTGATGTCCGAAGTGTAGATGGTGAAGAGAAACGGTGAGAGGACAGTGCCCTGCAGACTACCACCTCAGACTCACAGCTGCGCAACCGCAAGTACTGTGGTGGGTCCGAGAGGTAGTCGATTGTCCATGCAGTGAGGTTACTGTCCACTCCCTCGTCTTCCATCTTCCCCCGCAGCAGTGCCGGTCTGATGGTGTTGAAAGCACTGGAGAAGTCAAAAAACATGACCCTGACAGTGCTCCTGGCAGGCTCCACTGCAGCAGTAGATGACAGCGTCCTCTACTCCGATGTTGGGCCTAGGCGAACTGCAGCGGGTCCAGGGTGGGGCTTACCAGATAGTGGAGATGGGTAATAATTTCAAGCCTTTGCTACTGCATATCGACCAAATCATAGCCATTCAGCCATAGTCAGTTGACAAAATAAAACAACTTTTTGTGCTACTCACATGAGGAATTTCATTTGTTTGTGTTTTTCACATGTCTGCATTAGGGTGATTCTACAACTAATGGCAAGAATTGTTCTGGATTGATATATTATAATTTTTTTCCATTTTCCAAAATTAGTACATTGCAAGATGAGTTGTGCGACAACTGTTATTAGTGTTTTGAATAATGGTTTTATATTAGAGCACCCTTATTCAGTGGCATGTGGTAAAAACTTGTTTTCACATATTACATCAAAAAGGATGAATTTACTTAAACGTGTTGTTTGCTTGTCAAAAATATTATTATTGTTTATATCTTTTAGAAAAGGAATACCTGTCCCTGAGGTTCAGCGTAATTTCTATTGCACAGCACAAGTGGTACATTTGTGAGTTTATTTGCTGCAACTTCAACAGTCATTTTACTGTAGTCCCAAAGAAGACGAGGTAAAGTTTTAAATTTCAAGTCTGTTTGTCATTTCAAAACACGTCATATTTCTTTTGAATTTACTCATATTGATTTTTTTTTTATATTTATGCTAGTAAAGCTTGCCATTTTAGCAGAAGATTTGATATTTTCTCATTTCCATTTTCCATCAAAACCTTTTTATATTGTGATGGAATATAATAATAGCAATAATACATTTTAATAGTAATCGTAAAACCACAATCAGAAAGGGATACTATACATTTGAGTACAAGACTACAATGTTTTCGAATATAGCATTTAGACTTTCCAAAAATTGCACTCCCAGATTTTTCCATAGTCACCCCATTGAGGCCGGGAACGCATTCTGTTGGTAGCTGCTGCACACTTCTACCTTTAAGGCAGAGAAAGCGGACACGTTCTTTTTTTGACCTATTCTCTTCATTGATCAATTCTCTTGACCAATGAAATGGATCAACATAAATCAGTGATGAGAATTATCTGCGGATCCGCAAATTACGATTCGCTGAAAATATCATTTCTGTGAAATGTGTGGCTGTGGGCTGTTTGCGTTACGCACTCAAAGGCAATGTGTTTTCCTCTATTGCTGTGGCTGTCTCCACTCTTATCTTTCTCACATACCTACTGGCCAAGGCCGAAGATAACATGGACTCTCTCATCTACACAAGCCTCACACTTTTACAGCTACTGTATACCCAGCTTCCATAATAAAAACGTCCGTGTTTTATCCAAAACATAATGTGTCTTATCCAAACTGTCTTGTGATATGTATGTTACTGTTCTCTGCTTTTTATTCTACTGTTTATCGCATGGCGCCGTAAAGATGACGCCGTGGCAAGAGCTCTGGTGTGTGTCGTCTTCTCTGTCTGGTGCACACTGGGGTAGTCTTGCACAGTTTTTCCTATGTGGTTTAACTGCAAATGGCAAATAAATGAATCTGTGCTTTGGCACAGCTCAGTGAACGCGCAGCCAAAACGTGGTCATGTACCGCGGACCATTGACACGTTGTTGCACGTGCGGGTCTTGCCTATCTCCCCCGTCCCCCAAACTAGGCTCAGGGGAACTATTTGTGTCAAATTATTAATTAAAAAAAAACTATACATTTTTTGGTGTCTATATTTCAGACCGTGTCCACGGCCAGTGAGCTAAGGAAGCCCATCTACTGGATTGTGGCGGCTAAGGCTCTGGACTACGAGCAGATGTTGCTGCTGATGGCAGGTGTCAAGTGGGACATCAGGGAGATCATGTCCCAGCACAACATCTACGTGGATGTGCTTCTCAAGGTACCGTCTGCTGCCTCACTGCTGTCCCTCTGCTGTCCCTTTGCTGGCTGCTGTCTCTCTGCTGTCTCTCTGCTGTCTTTCTGCTGTCTCTCTGCTTTCTCTCTGCTGTCTCTCTGCTGTCTCTCTGCTGTCTCTCTGCTGTCTCTCTGCTGTCTCTCTGCTTTCTCTCTGCTTTCTCTCTGCTTTCTCTCTGCTGTCTCTCTGCTGTCTCTCTGCTGTCTCTCTGCTGTCTCTCTGCTGTCTCTCTGCTTTCTCTCTGCTGTCTCTCTGCTGTCTCTCTGCTGTCTCTCTGCTGTCTCTCTGCTTTCTCTCTGCTGTCCTTCTGCTGCCTCACTGCTGCCCTGAGCACAAAGCACAGCTGTGACGCACTGTACTCATGAATCTTGGGCTAGGCAATATGGAGCAAAAAATGTATCTGGATATATATCTTGATAGTTTTTTGTTTGTGATACATGTTTTGTCAAGTTATACTTCACTTATCAAACACAGTACAGTTAGTTGCAAGTTATTTTGATAAATGTCCTCATACAAGCAGCGTCTGCTGTGGTGACGTCCCTGTGTGCTCAAATGTATTCCCCGTCATTCAGTATGAATAATTTGTGATGCTTGGTGTGAATAATTCACGTCAGTCTGCAGGCTGTGCCCAGCTTCACCCTAGTTAAAGTCTCAGTATTTTAGGCCCTCCTGTCGGCTCTAATGTGTCTTTTTAACATTCTCCGCACTTATCTGCCCATGTATCTTTCATCAGCGGGAAACACGGTTTGTGCCTACAAAGGGCTTGCAGCTCTCAGCAAGACTTCGAATGGTGGAGTCAGACATGAGCCAATCCTGAGTCAACTGCTCTCACCATGACAGACGGGATGGCATCATGTGATTGTGTGATGCTACCTGCTCTGAGAACTGTCAGAGGCCCAGGTGTTTGGAGACATTGGGGAGGGCATTTAGGACTGCCACAGCATAAACCAACAGAAATCACTTTGGTTTTGGCCTTTAAGTTAAGAAGTGTATTTTATCATAACAGTTCGTTGTAGAGCCAGAGGTCCAGGTTTGTGTTTCAGATGCTTCCGGGATTCCTTTCTGGGAAGATGTTCCAGGCATGACCTGCTTGGGTTCGGCCCGGGGGAAGACCCAGGACACCTGAACACCAGTCTGCGGCTTTAATATTAACATTTTCTACAAATACTGGCACATTACAGTCATGTTAAAAGCCTCCTTTAGTCTTCCAGAAACTTCCTGAAACTTTTCATATCACAATAGAAATAGTACAAAAAAAGGACACAAAAGGCCACAAAAGAAATATTCACATATTTTATAATGGAATAATCAATAATTCACAACACCAATTTAGATCATACCAAAGGAGATGGTGCGCTTCAAGGCAGTATCTAAGTCTTATTTAAGTCAGATCCTTACGAAGCAAATAACAGAAGTGTTAATGCTGTTTTAATCACAGTCAATTTTGACAAAATCAAGGAGACATCATTTCCAAGGAGACAAGTCTGTAGAGAAACCGAGCACAGCTCAGCTCAGCCCATGTCCAGAAAATGTCTGCCCTTGATCAGGCTGCAAGGCAGTATAGAAGGAGATAAGACACACCTTCACTTCAGTCACAGTCACAGCTTCACAATGAGACCTGCGGTATTTAGCATATCAATCAAAGAAACAGTGGCCTTCTTACCAGGCCTAGCCTGGTCCCATCTGCATACAACCCCCGTCGCCCAGAAGACTGACTGGAACCAACAGTGAATTTCAATACAATATTTTTTAGCCACATATTACTTGAATTACATATTACTACGTTAAAATGATAAGTAAGTGAGTAATGTTTGTTTATATAGCGCATTTTACAGACCAAGGTCACCCAAAGCGCTTTACAATGCTTAAATAACATTTCAATAACAAGAAGGTAACCATATAATTATTTGGTTAACTTTAGATAGTTACTGACACCAACAGCACTGACAACTAGCATGTTATAAAGACAGAATCATATAAATATTACGCTTAGAGAGATCTTCAGTCATCAGTACAATATTAGTACCTTTTTTATAAATAGATATATAGATACTTAATTGATCAGGGGTCAAATTCAGGTGTCCAGAAGCAGCAGAAACACATCCATCCACACAAACATAACAAATAGATCCCACTGTAAATAAATAGATCATTCTGAAAATAGCTAACAATAGAATTAAAATGCAACAGCACTTTAGGTCACAGTAGCAGAGGTGGTGTATCCTCTGGGTGGAGTAGCACAGGTCACAGCAGCAGAGGTGGAGTAGCCACTTGCCTCTAGTGGATTTTTGCCTAATCCGCTTTTTTCGAACCATGAATCCTCTCCGCTCTGGTCTAGGCCAGTGTAAAACCATGAACACTGAACTGCAGCAACTTCTCAGGTGGAAAAAAGCTAGAAAAATAACAATTGTAAAGCACAAAACTGCCAACTGTTTTAGAGCTACCGACCTAAAATATATAAGAGCAGTGGATGATTACATCCTACATAGTGCTGTGCGTTTAAAAAATCCAGAGTGTATAGTGGGCCAGTTGAACTCGTCACCAACCCACCAACCCAGCTGACCTATCAGCTGATTATGTAGATGATGTTCCTATACTGTGTGTTGGATTAAAAGAAGTGGTTTGTTATCCCATTGGAAGGGGCTCTCAATGGATCCACAACTTGCCGACCAGAATTCTCTTCACTGCATTGTGAGCAAGAGAAATGACAACCGTTGCTTCCTATTTTGTAAATAACTGACCCACTACCGAGCTTCCCCTGTAATCCCATAATGTTCTAACTTGATGATTAATAAATCATTGCATCAAATGCTTTACCCAGGTCAATAAATATTATAATACAAAATTAGTTATGTCCTCAAAAATCACATTTGAAGTTCCTAACTGATTTTTCCCAAAACCCTATTTGCCTCAATCCTCTTTTAGCCCTAATTTATCCCGCCTCAGTCCTGCTTTACACCAGCTTTAGTCCCGCCTCAGTCCTGCTTTACACCAGCTTTAGTCCCGCCTCAGTCCTGCTTTACACCAGCTTTAGTCCCGCCTCAGTCCTGCTTTACACCAGCTTTAGTCCCGCCTCAGTCCTGCTATTCACCAGCTTTAGTCCCGCCTCAGTCCTGCTTTACACCAGCTTTAGTCCCGCCTCAGTCCTGCTTTACACCAGCTTTAGTCCCGCCTCAGTCCTGCTTTACACCAGCTTTAGTCCCGCCTCAGTCCTGCTTTACACAAGCTTTAGTCCCGCCTTAGTCTATTCAATCCTGCTTTAGACATGCTTTAGTCCTGGTCCATGACATTCAGGGACCCAGATCACAAAAAGGACATGGTTCTATGATTGTAGAGGTCTTCTGTCTACAGATACCTCCTCCTCTTCAGTCCTGTTCTGACATGAGCTCATGATGTTTGCTCAAAAACCCTGCTGCTTTGTCAACATCTAATAATGCAATGTTCATGTAATGTGTGAAGGAGTGAGGCACACATGCACTGCTCCTACAAGTGAGTTACTCAATTTGAAGTATATAAGGTGTGGGCTGGTGGGGGCGACAGTAGCTCAGTTGGTAGAGCATTGGCCTTTGGGCCTGAAGGTCATGGGTTCGAGTCCACCACGGAACCTGCTCCAACTGCTCCCACTAATGTCTGCTATTGTTGTGTCCTTGGGCAAGACACTTAACCCACATTGCCAGAAGCTCCCACTGATGTAGCAGCCATCTTCCTGTGGACTCACCACCTGCAGAGGATCAGCGAGGGATTGGTGCTATGAGCATCCGGTGGCAGGTCTGAATGTCATCCCCCCGACCCAGAAATGGACTAATAAAGGGGTAGAAAATGAATGAATTAAAGGTGTGGGCTGTCCACTCTTCTTCATTTCATTTCATTTCATTTTCAACCCCTTTATTAGTCCATTTCTGGGTCGGGGGGTTGGCAATGAGAGCTGCCACCCAATGCTCATAGCACCAGTCCCTCGCTGATCTTCTGCAGGGGGTGAGTCCACAGGAAGATGGCTGCTCTGTCAGTTGTGAAACAGCCTTGATCTTTCAGCGGAGGGCTTCAGGCAACGTGGGGTTAAGTGTCTTGCCCACTTCTTCATGTTTGGGAAAAAAACGTTCTGTTTTTAAAAGTAATTGTTGGAAATTACCCTCTTTGAAGGCTGTCTTAACAGAGTGGGTACATGACTGATCATATAGTAAACAGGATCTTTGCAGAGTTGACGTGTCCTGTCACACATCTTCAGGAGCACATCTCGGCCGGTCCAATCACACATTCACAAAGTCTGGCTGATCACTGGCAGTCATTGCCGACATTAATTTACATATAAATTGGCGGGGAAATGCAGGCCTGTGCTCAAATGGCTCCATTCAGATTGTGTTCTCAAACTATTATGTGGCTGTAAGCGACAAACCTCTGCCTTCCGCCGTCTAATATCCTGAATTTTTAATGAGCCATAAGCCGGTATGTTTGGCGACAGTGTGTTTCTTATGTAAATGCTGCAGTTCTTGGATAGTTTCATGAATATTTGAGTAGGCGCCACTCGAGCCATAAGTCCCTGTGTGCCTGAAATATGAGCGTGGAAGTCCCAGACTATTAGTGTTGTTTGACGTTCGGTCTATGGACATTGTTATTCTAGTAAAAACATCTCTGTGGACGTCCAAGGACTTTACCCCAATCCGTTGATAAGATATTGTTGTCCCTGTGTGTGTGTGTGTGTGTGTGTTTGTGGAGAGCAGGAGTTTGAGCAGTTTCACCAGCGCCTTACTGATGTCTCCAGACACGTTCGCATCCCACTGGCTGTGTCCAACGTCCTCTGGGAGCACTGCATTCGGCTGGCCAACCGCACGCTGGTGGAAGGGTAAGGCTTCTTATGGACTCTTTCCTCTGTCCCACTTCATAACATAGCAATGCAGAAGGACATTCAGCTGGATATCTCATTCAGCAGCATTTCAGCATGCATGGCCATACTAGTCTTTTATAGTTAAAATGCAGACAAAACTCACCTATATTCAGACAAAAAAGTTAAACATCGTATAACTAGTAAACTAGTATAATCCTGAGCCCTAAAATATGGCTCAGGATTATACTAATTTTAGGAGTGGACGGAATAATGTTTTTGTCATATCCTTAAATCTACAGAATATTTAGTTGGACAAGAATGTATCATTTCTGTCCAGGCTGTAGGGTGATCTGTTACTGGAGTAGAATGCAAGCCCACTCTGTGCTTTGGGGATGCTCTTGAGCACTTCCCTTTGCCTCTGCTCTCTGACCACTTTATCAGCCATTAAACAATCAGAGAACAGGTCGCAATGTAAGTAAGTAAGTAAGTAAGTTTTTATTTATATACCGCCTTTTCACTGCAGATCTGAGTCTCAAAGCGGTTTACAATTGTTAATTTTGGGCATTTGTCTCTCACTCCTCACAGAGATGGGAGCGAGGTCGCAGTACAGGAGGCGCATGCCAGACCTATTGTACATATTTTTAGTGGTAGGGGAAACCGGAGTACCCGGAGGAAACCTACGCAGACACGGGGAGAACATGCAAACTCCACTCAGAAAGGCCCTGGTCCGGCCGGGATTCGAACCCAGGACCTTCTTGCTGAGAGGCGAGTGCTATCCACTCAGCCACCGTGCCTTTTAGCCTCAATGTGAGGCTAAAAGGTGCAGGTATGAAAGTGTGTGGCGCCTGTATCAGGCTCAAATGGGATAAGAGAAGCTTGAGGAAAACACGCAAATTCACATTGCACAAAAATGTAAGAACAAATTGGCTTGCGAATCATCTTTGTGAGCATTCTAGAGGTTCGTCTTTAGTAGTACCCAATTAACAGTATGTCTTGTGTACACTGCAGCCAAGCCGCCACTCAGCCAATCGGCTTGTGGCGGTGTCTTTGTCACTCCAAAACCAAAAAGGTATCAAAAAGGTATCTCATGCTCATGTTTTTGCCTGTGGTTCCGGGAGCACGGCAAATGCTGCATCAAAATACATGAAACTTATTTTTTTTAATTATTGATTAATTCAAGAATCCAATGTTTTCACTGAGATATGTTTCCTAAGTGAATAGACTGCTGTGTAGGGATGCACCAATACCGATACTGGTATCGAGTATCGGTTTGATACCTCAGGCTTGTACTCATACTCGTACCATAGGACCCGAGTCCGGCAACCGATACCCACACTTTTATTCACATTAGCGTCATGACAGTAGATAGCAGTAAGGCACGTGTTACCAAAGAGGGAAGCTACCGGCAAGCTGGCTAGCAGCAAGCAGGCTAGCGATAAGCAGGGTAGCGGCAAGCGGACAAGATGCACCCAGTGGCTGCACCACCTCTGCTGCTGTGACATGATGTGCTGTTGCATTTTAGTATTTTTTTGTTTTTTTGTGGATGGATGTGTTTTTGCGGCTACTGGACACCTGAATTTCTCCTCCGGGGATCAATAAGTATAGTTAGTATATATCTCATATCGGTACTCGGTATCAGCAAGTACTCAAATGAAGGTACTCCCTATATTTATTTTATATCTATTTATTTACTCCTGGTCTACTCAATACAAATTCTTGATATTTCTGATTCAAACTGGATCCAGATTGGTTCTTTGTCTGACGAAGGCCTAAGTCCACGCCAAAACATGTCATTCAATCAGTACTAGCTTCTTTCATTTTTTGTCTTATTTAACAAACCTTCTAAGAATCAAACATAAGACAAAATGAACTTGGACCCAGACCTGGGGGCCCATATACAGCGGGCACTGACTGAGACTCAGAATGAGGTGTGTGTGTTGGGTGTTTAAAAAGTCCTGTGTGCCCTGCAGCTATGCGAATGTGAAAAAGTGCAGTAACGAGGGCCGCGCGCTCATGCAGTTGGACTTCCAGCAGTTCCTCATGAAGCTGGAGAAGCTCACTGACCTGCGGCCCGTCCCTGACAAAGACTTTGTGGAAACCTACATCAAAGCATACTACCTGACCGAGAGCGACATGGAGCAGTTCATCAAGAACCACCGGGTGAGAGAGAACTTTTGAATTTACTCTTTCTTTGGGGGGAAACAATAACATTTTTGATTGCTGCTTTTTCTGTGATCTGCAACAGTCAATACTGAAAATGTGCAACGACTCTCAAACTTTACCTTTCTAAAATCAATCCGGTCGGCTTGGTGTGCATAGAGAGGCAGAATTTGCGGCCATGATCCCTCCCTCTTCTCACCTTCAGTTCATCGTATTCAAAGTGAACTTATGGATAAGATTTACAAATATGATGCCATAATGAGCGAGTTTGATTGACACATGCAGGCACAGAGGGAGGGGCTCATGGGGATACTCTGCAGACAGAGGGAGGGGTTTTGGGAGACAGCACAGAGGAGTGAGTGCTTCTCTGAGTAGCAGTGTCTCATCTTGTCATTTCAAACATGTGAAATAGAGGCTTTATTTACAGTGGGACAAATAAGTATAAACAATGGCTACAAATGTCCTTTTGCCTTACAAACTTAAAAAAAGATGGTGCTATGTAAATTGGGTGCAGCTCTGACTGCCCCCCCCCCCCCCCCCCCCCCCCGACCCAGAAATGGATGAAGGGGAAGAAAATGGATGGATGGAACTTAAAAAGATGAGAGATGTATGCAATTTTCATCATAGGAATACCTCCACAACGAGAGAGAAAATTAGAAAAAAATAAAGGAAAAAACAGCAATAATATTTTTAATAACTGCAAATTATGGTGAGAAATAAGTATTTAGTCAATAACAATAGTCAATCTAATTGTTGCTTATACTTTTAATTGGCAATTACAGAGGTACATTTTTTTCTTTTAGTCTTCACAAGGTTTTCAGGACCTTGAATTACATCTTACAAAACCACTACTTTGTTGCCGGGGCAGTGTGTTTGGAAATAATGTCTTGCTGAAAGACCAGGTTTTGGCTTCAATGCCCTTGCTGATGGAAAGAGGGTTTCATTCAAACTCTCATGATACAGCTGCAAAGCATGATGTTTCCACCTCCATGCTTCACAGTCGGTATGGTGTGTCTGATAACCTTGAAAGACTTACCAAAAAACGGTTGACCTCTGTCATTGTCAAAGCTTTTTTTCTGATGTTCATAAATCATACTTCAGAATAGATTATTTCCTTATCTGCAACTCTCTTCTGGCTAATATAAGAGTCACAAAAATCCATTCCATTATAAATAATGATCATACACCGATTAGCTTCAATTTGAATAAACCCAACTACAGGTGGTACTTCAAAATATCCCGCCTCAAAGAGTGGACATCATTTTTTGAAATCCATCTTGATCCATTACGGGCAGCACGGTGTCTGAGTGGATAGCACTCTCACTTTTCAGCAAGAAGGTCCTGGGTTTGAATCCCGCTTTAAACAGAGCCTTTCTGAGTGGAGTTTGCGGGCTCTCCTCGTGTCTGCGTATGTTTCTTTCGGGTCCTCCGGTTTCCCCTACCACTAAAAACATGTACATTAGGTCTGGCATTTGCCTGCATCCCCATCCATGCGAGTCGCTCCCATCTCACTGTGGAGTGAGAGACAAATGCCCAAAACAAAACAATTGTAAAGTGCTTGGTGACCCTAGTCTGTAAAAGGCACTATTTAATAAGATTTCTAGCATATTATCTGGGAAACTGGAAATACAGTAGTACAATGCACAATCATCTCATACAACAAGCTCAGCTGGATTCCTGGCCTCCCCTTTTAATCATGCACAAAATCCTTGAATGATTAATTTAGCAATTGCCTGAAATTCTGATAAAGTCTTACTTTCGTGAGGGAGCCTCCCAGCTTGAAATGTGAAAGCATTACACTACATTAGGGCTCAAGTTTGCGAGCAATTTGCCTGCCATACTTGACTACGCTAGCTTCCCCTAACAAACTAGCAATTAGTAAAACCCTACTGCTGTTGGATTACATATCACTGGCTGCGTCCCAAGTCTTCTTAAACAATACCTTTTCCTCATCTGATTTTCTCTTTTTTGTTTCAACATTGTAGGTGTTTTCGAAAATCCGACTCAATAACAACTCAGACAGGTGCACGCACTGTCAAAAAGCAGGAGGGGGAGAGTAGGGGGAATGGACGCATCCCATTGGTTTTATTATTTATTTTTTGAGGCTACATATTTCAAATCATATGATAACTTGACTACTTTTAGGGTTCAGGGACGTTTCCCCACATTTTAAAAAATTGCAACTGCTGCGTCTGCATCTTTAAGCATAATAAAGCAGTATAAAATAAAGTCATGACTCTATCCTGGCTGGTGTTTCTCTATGTTAACAGGCATTGTGCTATGTTGTATTTTGATTCTAGTCTAGTCTTGATCAGCAATGTTGAATATGCAAAATTGCTTGCAACGGCCGGGCTGCCAAACGTCAAAAATCAGGGGCGCCAGTTTGTTTTTCTTCTCGTCCTAATCGCTACTCAATTCTTAGGGCTCATATCTGGATTTCTAAAGATCATTTTGAGTGTGACACCAAATGTTACTGAAATTCTACTGTTCAATGCAAGTCAATAGGAGCAAAACTTGTCTATGAGCATTTCCTTATTGGACTTCATCGAGCTTGGGGGTTAGCATTGTCCATTTACTTTCTATACAGTCTATGGTCAGTCAACTAGATCTGTTTTTTCTTCAGGAATACTCCATGAAGCAGCTTGCTAACCTGGTCAACGTGTGCCTGGGCTCACACATAAACAAGAAGGCCCGACAGAAGCTGCTGGCCGCAATCGACGACATCGACCGACCCAAGAGATAAACAAACATCTGCCCCAGCTGGACTGTCCTAACCACTGCACATATTCCACTGCTCCGGAGCAAACACTGAGATCATGAACTCATCATGCCGTCATTCTGCGGTGGATGGATCTGTTTGACAAGAGGGAGGCGTTTTATGGGAACATTGCTTATCACTAGTGTGGACTCTGTGGAACCATATCTACCCCTATCACATCCGCCCCTCTCACATCTGCCCCTATCACATCTGCCCTTCTCACATCTGCCCTTTCACACATTTTAATGACCTGCAACATCTGAAGAGATGAGGCCCCGTTCTGAGCAATGATCTCGTGTCAAGGACTGCTGATGTTCAATGTGTCTATTGTGGGCTGTTTACAATATACTGAATCACACTCTCTTCTATGTTTGCTGTGGCACCTGTGCATCGTAGTTTTGAATTTGAACTTTTGCAATCTCAATATTCTAAAGCAATGTGAGACAAGATGGAATTTCTGTTATTTTGAAAACTCATTATTACTTCCAACAGCAGACTACGAACAAACCACTCCTTTTAAACTATATCACACAAGTGAGACACACATTGTTATTTATTGAATAACTGAATAACTCCGTCCATGCCTCTCCACATGTCAAACTCAGATAGTTAAAAGGGTATGAAAAATATTTAATTAATATATGTTTATGAAGTCAGACATATTCCAAGCTTTAATTTTTGGTTTTGTCTTTGAGGACTGAGGTTGATCGTGGACATGGCGTACACATGTCCCACTCCTACAGTGTGTCGAGCATCACTCGTAAAAGACCTGGCCTATTCCTTAGTAGTCCAAAGTTCTCTTCTCTGATTCCAGCAAATGTGACATGACATTTCATTGGAAATCAAGGTCCCATAATCTGGAGAAAGAATGAAGACGCACACAATCCAAGATGCTTGAGGTCCAGTTTGAAGTTTCCACAGTCTGTAATGATTTGGGGAGACATGTCTATGACACGATGGCTGAGGGGATAGCACTCCGCTTCTCAGTAAGAAAGTCCTGGGTTCACTGTTGGTCCACTTAAAACATGCACAATGTGTATGTAATGAGTGAGTAAATGATGGTGTTGGTTGGGGCTTTGATGCGCCATTGTGTTCGGCGCCTCGCTTCCGTCATCACCGTGTGGAGAGAATGAAACAATATCTGAACTCTAAACCATTTAAAGCGCTTTGGGTGACCTTGTTCTTTAAAAATGCGCTATATTAATGACTTAAAATGTCACGTTCCAAGCCACAAATTGTTTTCCAAGATATTCTACTCTGAGTTTCACTTGCAGTGTGATGTCATCATAGCCTGGTTTTATTTCCTGACCACCTCAACAGATGGTTCCTCACAAACTGCTTCCTGAAAAATCGTCATTTACATTTACTCAAAACTGTTGGAAACTCAATGGTCCTTTGAGTGCAGCTTTGAAAATGTCCTCCCAGCTTCCTGTCTTTAAAATGTGTGTAATAATATCATGAGTAATATGTGACGCCTTAAAGATGGGTTTGTGGACTGAAGTGAAAATAAGTTAGTTTTACTTGTAGTGTAGTAATGTTTAAATATGACAAACGCTTCATAACCTATTTATTCAATTACATACAAATTAGATTGTATGTTGTTGTATTTCTGATTGTATGATTGTATTTATTTTATACAATTGCTGATTAACCAATAACAAACTATTTAACATCTAATTGGTTTCATGTGTTCAACCTAAACATATAAAATCCATCTTTATCAGGGTCTAAATCTCTTTCATTGAGCGCTTCATTGGGATAACCCATTCCACCTCACAAAAGGGTTATATCAGGATGCTGATGAGACTTGAATACTGCACAGGTGCCTGAGGCTAAGCACCATAGAAGCCCACGCTAACGTGCTCAGGTCTAATTTTTGGGGGTCAGAAAACGGTGTCAGTGCCTGCCTCATGCAGTGCAACACGAAGGTACAGAGCAATGACTGATGCAGAGTATTCTTATCCATGGGCCACTCCTCCACAACCTTGACATTGGCAAAACCACTCACCCACACAACATCACACATGGATCCCACCGGATTCCTCTTGAAGAGAACATGTCACCTGAAAATGTCCCACTTCTGTCACCGCCTCTTCTTCACTTGTCGCCTGTTAAGCATGTTTGGGATGCTCTGGATCTTAGGATATGACAGCATGTTCTAGTTCCTGCCATTATCCTGCAACTTTACACAGTCATTGGACCAACATTCCATAACCAACAGCTCTAGTCACGTTTCCACCGCAAGAACTTCAGGGTAATTTTCCAGAGCCAGCCCCACTGGTGCGTGTCTCCACTGGAGGAACCTCCCCCACAGGGCCATTTACAGGAACTTTTACAAGAACCAACGGAGTACTTCCTCCATGCTCAGTAATTCGTTCTGCCCTGAACAGCTCCTGATGGAGCTTGAGTTTAATCTGGTGCTGATTGGCTGAAGCTGTAGTAGGCTCTGACGCCAGCAGAAAACAACTGGCGTTTTAAATATCCAGCAGCTTTAGCCAAGTAGCAGTAGCCGAGCAGACACCACTGGAACGGCAAACAGCAAGATGTTTGATAGATGGACACTCTGAAACAATGCTGTGAAAAGTAACACAAAACTGAAGCAGGACTATAAACAACTCAAAGACCACAACCGGAGCGGCTCCCACACTAAACACGTAATCAATGATTATTGATTATGCAGTGATCAAATCTCATGATGTCACAGAGGTGTCCTACTCTGCAGTGGAGATACTGAGAGGACCAAGTGAGAGAATCAGAATCAGACAGCCAAAGAGGACGGTTCCTGCGGCTGTCCCACCCCCTCATTTTATTAGAAACTCCTGTGGTGGAAACTCAACTTCTGTCTTGCACTGAGGAGTGTCCTGACAAACACTGGTTTATGACCTCCCAGATCCCCAAAAAGGAGAGAGTGGACTTCTTCCAGTGGCTTAAGGCCCCATTTAGACTGAGACGCTGCGGAGACGTTGCAAAGCAATTTGCAAAAACAACCAGGCTCCGTAGCACCCCGCCAGTAGGGGCCGAGGAGCTTTTACAAAACGACACAGTGGCTAAGTGGATAGCACCGTTGCTTCTCAACAAGAAGATCCCGGGTTTGAACCCCAGTCGGAACAGGGCCTTTATATGTACAGTAGTTCAGGGTGAATGAGTGTGTGGTTGTGAGTGCGACTGTGGGACCATGGATGGAAATTAGCCTAAGGCTACAATTCGTAGTGATGTATTCATTAACATGGACTGTCCCAACCAAATAAACTAAACTTAACGCGTTACCCCATCAGTCTGAACACTTCCTGAACAACATCCTCCACAGGCCACAGCAAAGCTGGGAAATAAATTACCAACATCCTTCTCCATTTAACTGTAGCAGCAAAAATGGAAACTGAAACTACAGCTTTGCATGGTTTCCAAAGTTATGACTTTGAAGTATGATTGTTAGTTTCTGTTACGAACGTATGTAACCAGAAGGGTACCATCACTGGCTTTTGGACAGTAATATCATTTAAAAAAATACCTCTCAATGTTTGTGTTTAGACGCAATATAAATATTTTGGTGAAAATAACTTCCTGCTCAGTCTACGTTCCCACCGTCACGTGACTTTCAGTCCTGAGCTTTGAGGATTTCATGTTGGGACTGGTTCCAACAGGAAATACTGAAGTACAAGATAAGAGTACTGTTGTAAATGAGCTTTCGATTCAAATAAAAGAAACACACAAGTGTGTGTCAGCAACTGGAATGTCATTGTACATATTTTTACATATTACACAGTCGTACCTCGCCTTGCCTTAGCCATCCGTACACAATTATCATTATCCTGCATGTAACGTCTGGGTCTGGTCTCTTTGTTAGTGATTACAATCGTTTGAATTCCATCCGACCAATCAGCGAACGTTGGAGGCGGGTGTTGTAGACGTCAAGAGTTTGCGTCGAACGGGAAGGTTGTAGTTTGGCAATGGCAAACTGCAACTTATTCCGGTCTGGTTCTATCAAGAAATTGAAGCCGGAGCAAGAGAAATGTTTAGCAAATGTCATCGCTGGCAAAAAATGTGGCGCTACTCCCCACGGGCTCCTTTAGCGGTAAAGGAGATGGCTAGGCTAAATGCTAACGACTCACTCGGGTACATTACATACGTCTCGGTAAATCTGTAAAAGGAGTTAACCCCTCCCACCTCCAGACCTTAGTACGAATTGTAATTTGTACTATGGTGTGGTACGACCAGGCTAAGACATACCGTGTCTTTCATCAGTATGACTTCTGTTGTAGTCTGTTATGTTCATTGCTATTCACCCACTGCTGGTGCAGGAGGGTCTAAGGACAGTGGTGATGATCCAGGACATTCGAAACAAAGACATTTATGGACATGGTCATCTGCCCCTTATGGACACACGTATGGCTTTGTTTTATTTGTATCGACGGCTAAGTCCTCAGAGACTTGACAAAGCTGTTGTGATTTAGGGCTGTGCAAACAAACAAATATTAAGTACAAGAGAGGTCAAGGAGGAATGGTGGAGAAGCAGGGTTAATTCATAATCTGGGAATGAAAAGAGTATGGCAAAGCGCAAATCTCAACTGCCCATGAAGTTATTTTCAACAGGACAATCCTGGCCGCCGTGGCCGGTGAACTCTTCTGACCTGAACCATGTAGGACGATCTTTGAGTGACTTTATTGTTTTTCTGCGCCGGCCACGTGACCGGGTGGAAAATAAGCAGAGTTAGAAGGTTTTAGACGTTTGGAGAATCAAATAGTCCATTCTTGTTGTGTGGTCGATTGTACGTCCTGCTGACGGCTACATAAAGGATTAATCTTCAATTTTCTCGGAAAATAACGGTTACAGGAAAAAACCCAAAAACTTACCTGGCTTTACAATCACAGTGAGCAGTGATGATTTCACTATTTTCCTTCGTAATCACCCGCAGCATTTGTGAATCCTGCTGTGACTCTGCTAGACTTGGTCTGACCACAGCTTTCAACAAAATCATAGAAAAATT